TGATTCTATGATTCTATGATTCTATGATTCTATGATTCTATGATTCTATGATTCTATGATTCTATGATTCTGTGATTTGGTGATGGATTTGATGATGGATGGATGGACTGGGGATGGATGGATGGATTTGGGATGGACGGATTTGGTGATGGATGGATTTGATGATGGAGAGATGGACTGGGGATGGATGGGTGGATTTGGTGATGACTGGATGGGTTTGTGATGAATGGATCTGGTGTTGAATGGATTGATTTGACAATGGATGGATAGATTTGGTTATGGAGGGATGGCTTTGGGGTGGATTTGGGGTGGTAAGGGCAAGGAAAGCCTTGGAGAGATAGAAACCTAAAATTCTGGTGCTTTCATCCTGGGGTCCTACACGAGGAGTGGGGAATTCACATCAACTGGGTCCTTTTGGGGGGATATGATGCACATCTGAATGATGGTGGCATGGGGTTTTCAGCACATGGAGCATCTGCGATGCAGCTTTGGGATGATGTTCAGTCCCAGGAGGGACTTCCTGGGGGTGGAACTGGGAGATCTTCCTTTCTCTTTTTTTTTTTTTTTAAATTTCAATTCTAATTTTTGGTTTGGGGTTGGGGTTGGGGTTGGGTTTCTTTTTGCAGCTTCCCAAGCCCACCACTGCCTTCTTCCCGTCCTGGCTGCTTTTGGCAATGGTAGAACTCACACTGGTGCGCTCGCAGGATCCGGTGGTTCTAGACTTGCCAACTACAGCCCCGGGAAACGCCACGGACACAACCCCCCTGATCCCCCCAGCACCCATGGCTGTAGGGAGGGGGTTGTTACAGCGTCCTGCTCCATTTGTGCGTTCCAAGTCCAGATCTTTAAGGGGTGCCCAGTCATGGGGACAGTGGGTTTGGGTTCCAGATGTGCTGTTTTTTGGAGGGTTTGGGGGACAACCATGGAAATGTCCTCATAGAGGGGAGGGTCCTGCTGGAAAGCGGTCATTGGAGCATCTTGGCCTTGTGTCCCCATTTGACTCCAGGCATTAAGCGCTGATCCATCCCTGCGACATGAGGAGGGGGGGTGGATTAGGTGGCTCCTGCCCCACATCTTGCCAGTGCCAGCTTATGGGGTGGGAAGGAAACTGAGGCATGTGCAATGCTGCCGTGTGTCCCCACTGCCGTTTGTCTCTGCCTGTTCTCAAGTGCAGGAGGGACGATGACAGCATTTTGGGGAGGGGTGGTGGAGGGTGGGGTTTGCACAGTGGGGTGGGGAGGGCGGGGGGTTCCTTGCTCCTGGCTGGGTTTGGATGGGGGGTGGTGGGGATATGTAGGGCAGCGCCGGGTGATTACGGAGCTTTCGGCCATAAGCCTGCAGAGATTGGATCATGTGGGATTAGAGTGAAGGCTGCACGCTTCCAACCTCCTCACTGCGCCGGGGGAGGGACGAAAGGAAGGAAGGATGGAGACGGATGGGGGGTCCACATTGCCTAGTGGGGCGGGTGGGAGTGTGGGGAGGGGGCACAGGCTGTCTGTCTCTCTGTCTGTTTGCTTGTTGCTTCCATCATCCATCTGTCCAGCCACGTATCAGTCTGTCTGTCCTTCCATCCATCCACTCAGCTATCATCAGTAAGGCCACCCACCCACCCCCCTGTCTGTCTGTCCAGTCACTGAGCCATGCATCTAGCTGCCTATCCATCCGCCTGTCCCCACATCCATCCATCGAACCAGCCTGCTGTGGCTCCATCTACCAGTCTGTCTATCTGTCCAGCCATTTATCCATCAATCCAACCACTGCTCCATCTGCTGGTCTGTCCATTCATCTGTCCGTCTGCCCATCCATCCAGACAGCCTTCGAGCCCTCTGCAAGTCTTTTTGTTTGTCCATCTGTCCACCTGTCAAGCCACTGGTCCCTCTATCACTGTCAATCTATCCACCAAATCACCCGTCTGTCCGTCCATCCCAACAGCTATTGAGCCCTGCATCAGTCCATCTGTCCATCTGTCCATCCATCCATCCAGCCAGCCTTCTGTGAGTCCTTATGTCCATCCATCCCAACAGACACTGAGCCCTGAGTCCGTCTGTCCGTCCATCCATCCACTGATCCCTCCACCAATGTGTCCATTCATCCAGACAGCCACTGAGCCTTCTATGAGTCTGTCTTTCTGTCCATCCATTCATCAGGCCGTTGACCCTGTCCATCTTGTCCATCCATCAAACCATCCGTCTGCCCATCCATGTCCCCGGGGCTCAACTCTGACATTTCCCTCGAGGGGATCAGAGGTGGAGCATCCTCTCCAGCCCCACCTCCCAACAAGCCCCACCCTAACAAAAACCCCACCCATCCCCATAGTCCCCACCCCCAGCAATCACCCGAAGGCACATGGGATCCCCCAGCACCCAAACGCTGGTGGGCATCACACCAGAGATCCCCGTTAATATGTCCCTTCCCAGAGACAGCAGTTTTTGAGGTCAAATCCTGTGATTTGGGGTTGCTGTGCACAGTGCAGCACTGGGGCTAAAGATAAAGGCAGCAAACCCAGCTGGGTCACAGTGTGGGCCACCCAGGGTTGGAGAGACTCTCTAAAACTCAGACCCTCTCAAAACCCAGGGATCTTCCCCAAGCCTAAGGCTGGGCTCCCTGAGATGGAAGGGAATAAAAGTGTCGTGTGCTGGGTGAGCTGCCCCAGCAGGAGGCCCCGACCTGCTTATTAAAGCCTGATTAGCACAGATTAAAGGCTGGGGACAACGTCTGCCAGGCTGAGCCCCCACCATGAGCCCATTGGGGAACCCCAGTCTGGAGGGGGCCAACCCGCTTCCCATAGAGCAGGGCTGGGACGTTTGGATTGCTTTGAGATTGACTTTGGGATCGCTCCCCCTGTGCCTCATCCTCCTTTGCTTCCATCTGTCCTTCCATCCATCCTCCACTCCACTTTGTCTTCAGGCTTGCAAGAACTGGGCTCTGATCCTGCAGAGGATCCTACAAGATCACGTCGGAGCCAACGGTCCTGCCCCCCATGCTCAAATAAAGCTGCTCAACCTCAGTGCTGCCGTCCGGCTCCTCCTTGGGATGCTCAAACGATGGGGATAATGGGGGCACAGCGGGGATGAGGTGGCCTTGATCCCACCATGGCACGGAGTCGACTCCAATGGTCGCTTTTGGGGCGCCGCTCACCGTGGTGCTGATGGAAGCACACGAAGGATGAAGCTTAAATAGCTCAAAGGAAGGACTTCAACTCAAAAACCACCCCCAAATCCAAAACCACATCGGGGACCCCCTCCGAGAGCCTGGGGGGAGATGGCGAGTTACCCCAAAACCCTCAAAAAAGCCCCAAAAGAGAAGTGAGAAGCGCGGGTAGACACATTTGTAACAATTTATTGAATAATAGACACTGGGAAAACAATAGGGGTCCATGCTCTGCTACTTGCCTGGTTTTGTCTCTTTGGGGGGAGGGCAAAGGGGACTGCTGGGACTAAAAGAATGTCATCGCACCGCCCAAGGAACACGGACTTGAAAGCCACCGACATCTTCACAACGACGATAAAAAATAATAATTAAAAAAAAATAATAACAAACTGGAGAAACCAGGGCTGTTTCTATGGAAATATTTCCCTCCCCTCGTTTAAAGTACAGAAGAAGTGTATACAAAGAGCATTTGATATTTTCCTTATAAAACAAGTAAATACAAGAATCTGAAAACTTCCTTGAAGGCGGAGCAAAGACGCAGAGAACTTCGTTAATGGCCACTTGAAAATAACAATAATTAAAAAAAATATTAAATACCACACACAACCAGCACGCACCATGGGGGGCTTCCGGGGTGCTTTTGTCCCATTGAAAAGTCCTGGAGGATCTGTCCCCAAAATGCCCCCGTGGGCTGTCCCCTCCTCTGGGAGACGTTGGGTGACGTGGGTTGGGTTGAGTTGGGTGGCAGCAGTAGGAGATGCTCAAGGAGCAGGGCTGGCACATGGCTCCAGAGGGGTTCCCCAAAAGGGTTGAATTGGGGTTTCCAAGTGTCCTGGGTTGGCAGTGGGGTTGTGGCTCTTTGGCAAAGGATCGGGGCAAGTGCTGGTCATATTGTCCCCGAGTCCCCGCAGCCCTCCCGGCACAGCTCCGGAGGCATTTCCGCTCCGTTCCAAATCGACAAGAAGAGGAAATAATAATTATAATAATAATAATAATACAGAGAAAAAAAAAAAATCACAAAAAACAAGAACAAAAGAATTGAAATGGCAGGGTTTCCAGAGCAGAGAAAGAAGAATGTGTCTCCAGTGTGCACCAGGGGAGCCAAGCACGGCGGTCATCGAGCTGTCCTCGCGCCCGCACGGGGCTCCGGGACCGGCAGCTTCGAGAGCTGTCCCCACAGTCACAAATGCATTTTTCCAAGAAGAGCCTTGCCCAAATTTCGTTATTATTTTTTTTTTCTTTCCTTTCCTTTTTTTTTTATTTTTTTTTTTTTTAATTTTTTCATATAAAAGTCCACGTTAAAATCTTCGAAACCTAATTCACCCCCTGTGGGAGCATCCATGCTCTGCTGTGGGAAGAAAAGGGGCGCAAGGAGTCGTATTTTTTTTGTGTGTGCGTGTGGCTTTTTTTTTCCTCCTTTCTCATCTCTTCAGAATGTCCCATCTGCGTTGGGCTTCTCGCTCCAGTGTGATCAGTGGTGCTGTAAAGACGCACTTAACACACGCATCCTTCGTTATTCTTCGTTAAAAACGGTCAGCAAAACACTTTTGCTTCCGAAAGACTCAGTGCCACCTGATTGCATCTCCGGATAGGCGTAAAAAAAATTTTATTCGCATTAAGAGACGAGGAGAAAAAAAAAAAAAAAAAAAGAAAAGAAAAGAAAAAAAAAATAATAAAAGGAAAAGAATAAAAACCCCTCAAAAAAATAAAAATAAATCATCGTGATCCCGCTGAGGGTTATGGTCACTGTTCCAAAGTTACCACTTCCACCGCCTGCCCATCCACGGTGACGGCGCTGTCTGCTATCCGTGTGGTGACCGGTGCCATCGCCACCTGCACGGGGCCGTTGCCCTGCGCCAGGCTGGTGACCACGGTCTGGTACATGCTGACAGGGATCTGCACGAGGCCTGCGGAGACACAAAGGAGAAATGTGAGAGCGATGAGGGAACGCTGTTCTGCCAAGGAACGGGGTTGGTGCGGTTGAGTGTCATGGTGCGGGCCATAAAGGGGTTGTGTTGGATACGGGTGGAGACGTGGCGGAGCTTCCAGGGTCCTTTGGTTCTCGTGGGAAGTCAAGGATTGAAGAAGGCAGTGGTAAGAGGGAAGATGGTGGGTGGGAGGAAGGAAGAATTATCATAGAATGGCTTGGGTTGGAAGGAACCCCAAAGATCGTTAAGTTCCAACTGTCCTGCCACAGGCATGGCCAACAACCTCTGGAAGACAATGGTGGGTAAGGGGGAAACAAAAGTGATGTTGGGTAGGGGCAAAGGAAGACAGTGAGGGGTAGGGGTGAAGAAAGGATCATCACAGAATCATAGAATGGCATGGGACCTGAAGGATCACAAAGTCTTAACCTCCTGGACACAGGCAAAACCACCAACCTCCAGAAGATGATGGTGGGGGGCAGGGGGAGAAGGAAGATGGTTGCTAGGGAAGAAGATGATGGTTGCAAGAAAGCCAGGGATAGGGTAAAAGACAATCTCCCACCCCATGACACACAGATGGTATCACACCCACACCATCATGCTCGTGTAATTATTCAGACTTAATGGAGCCCAGCCCTTACAAACGTTAGAGAAGTCCCATAATCAACCCCATCACACTGTGTGAGATGAGAAGAGGCTCAGAGGTAGAAAGAAAAACTGCAAGAAGGAAAAACCTACCACTGAAACCCCAACTGCCCGGCAGCACGGTAGGGCACAGCCCTGAAAATCCAACGAGATCAGACCAAGCTTTCCCAAAACGGCAGCAGGATCCCCTTTGGTTCAGTTCTCTGTGGCAGGCAGGGACCTCTGTCCTGCCAAGGGCACTCATTGAATAACGAGAGGCAGCAGAGTGCAGCTCGGTGTCCCCAGATAACTCGCTGCACACAGACAGGAAAGCTTAGGAGTTAATCATGCTGCCCAGGTGGGTGACCCCGGCGGAGCTCAGCTCTCGGGATCTCGTGGCACTCTACAGATAGGGACATTTTGCAACGCCTCAGCCAGAGGGCTGCCCCATCTCCAAAAGGGTGATCTACAATTTTATGCAGCTCGCAGCCCCATGAGGAACCACCATCCTTATGTACGGCTCAACGTCAACAGCTACAAATGACTTGGAGGCAGCTGAAACACTGAGTTCCTGAGGTGCTTTCTAATAGGGAAGAGTTTTAGGCTACAAAGCATTGAAACAAGAACTCGTGCTCAGCTCTCTCAAAGGCAACCCCCAATAAGATCCTCAAGATATTCAGCACAGTTCTGTAAGCAGGTTCTGGCACAGAGTGGGAGATGTGGCCTGGGATGCACTCAAAATCCCTGCTCCAGACCAATGACCCAGCTAAGCCTTTCGGGTGATTCAGGTTGTTGACCCAAAGGAATTCACCAAAGATGAGTCTATTCCCCACAGCCAACTCAAAACGAGGGTCACCATAAAGCAGGGTTCAAAATCTGATCCCTCCATTATGTTTAAACATGGGTTGGCCATAATAGGGGCATTGTTAACAACAGGCATTGCAAGAAACAATGATGAGATGGAGCTCTTTGAGATGACTCTGCTCCCCATGGCCAACCCAAAGATGAGGGTCACCAGCAACGCTGAGCATGCAGCATTAAAGAATCTGATCCCTGCACAAGCTGGCCATAATAGGACCATTGTGAAAGACAGGTATTACCGAAATATGGCAAGATGGAAAAACCAAAGGGGGGTTTTCTTTGGGAAAGATGAGCCTGATTCGGCCAAGGTTTGATCGAAGCTAACTACAACTTGGATACATCGCGCGTTAAGAGTGGGGAGGTCTCTGGTCTCCGCGAGAGACAGCGATGCACAGCTCCCTTTCTGCATGGGATTAAGCTAAATCGTCTCAGCATCTGACGCAGTGGCCTTCCTGGCAGGAGTGGTGACAAACCAAAGGAGGAGAGGGCGAGGGCTGGAAAGTCTGCTGTGCATTAAAGCAGAGATGATCGCCCTTGGGAGAGAGGCGATTAAACCACTGAGATGCTGTAATCAGGTCTAGGATTGGCCCTGTGCTGCATCTGCTCAGACCTGTGCCCTGATTAGCCCTAATCTAGCTGGCATATGTTAATCTAAAGCATGGATTTCAGACCCTTTCAATTGTATTAAAAACAGGAAATCCATTAGACAAAATAAAATTACAAAAAAAACCCAAAAAAACCACAAAACTTTCAAGTCTCTGGAAAACACACATCTTCCAAAAAAAAACTCAAGTCGTGCTGGGGTGGGAAAGCCCCAGTGGAGAGACGGAATTGGGCTCGCAGCAGCCCAGAGCTGCTCCTACCTGTGGACAGGTGCCAGCAGAGGTGATGGATAATGCACAGAGCAGTGAGATGACACAGCTGGGCTGGAGCTGCCCATTTGGGATTTCCTCCCACCATTTGGCAGAAACGATGACGTTCATCTCTACCCTCAGCAGGAGGCTCTGGATTGCACCCAGGTCATGCTTTTGCTTACCTGCAGCCTGCCAGGACAAGGATTTTGCATTTGTTTCAGCAGAGAAGAGGTTATGGCTTGCAGAAGGGGAAGAGTTAGGCTCTGGCCATGGGATTCTAAGGCCAAATATCATGCAGTGGCTGATACAGGCACCTTACCTGACACGGAGAGGGGACCAGCAACATCAGAACTGTTCTGATCCCAAACTGCAAGTGGGTGCATTAAACCACCATTCAAAGGGCTTTGGGGGAGAAGAGTAGGAGGTTGAGATGATTGGCCATCCAGTATCCAGAGGATGGGGACACCAGAGCCAGTTTCTGCTGGTTGTTATGCTTCTTCGAGATCACAGCAAGTGCAGAAGGAAGGCACCGCCAACCAGGTGAGCTGGACCACCACAGAGATCAATATTCAAACATGCAGAATGAGTGGAAGAAACTGAAGAATGGATGATCTCAGGGCACCTCTCAAACACTCAGAGATAAATGTCTAATATTATCTTCCCAGAGACGGGCTCCTCTGATGAATGCTTTGGAGCATCCTTCTGCACCATGGGGAGCACGGACAGCACAACCTTATGCCACACTTTTCTGCCTGGAGCTCAAACAGAGCACACAAGTGAAGTTTTGGATGGTTGAAAGAGAAGAACCAGCCCCATTCTTGACTGCTGTCACCATGCTGAACCTGAGCTTGGAAAACCATCTCCTCTTCCTTCATGAAGTGCAAAATCATCTTCCTTGCTAGCATCAACTTGAACTGAGCTGATCTCCTGCAACATTCTGGAAGCAGCCTCAGGACTTTGAGAGAGCAAAAGGCAAACTGAGAGACTATTCTGAGAAACTAACTGAGAAACTAATGCTGGTTTGACTCCAGCATTTGGGACCTGGAGTCTGATGCAGCACTCAGAAACAATGCACTGACAAACTACTCTTTAGATTTCTTTTATGGGGCAAAACATCAGCGCTCACCTTGCAGACCCTCACAACACAGCATCATCAGGTCATCTTCAAATTTAGGCAACATAACCTGACCAAAAGACAAGACCTCAATGGAGTGTTGTATGTCTTCTTCCAACAGGGAATCTAAAGCCCACTTCAGATCAGAAGAAGGCAAAAGCCATGGCCAGTTGCACCCAATGCTGCTCTTGGGGGATCTACTGGCACCAGAAACATCCTCAGCACTGAGGAGATGAAGCAGATCCCTCACAGTGGATGTGTTAAGTTGGCACAACTTGCTCTGTTCTCTCAGACACCAAAGGGATAAGTGCTGAAAGTTGTCTGGTTTGTTGTTTCCAAGCATTGCAGAGACAGCAGAACACTGATCAGCCTCACAGATCTACCTGACCAACAGAGAGCTCTGAAAGCCTTACAGAGCTCAGGCCAACGACAGAGAAGGCTGAAAGGAATGAAAACTTCAATTTTAATTCTTTGTCTCCAGCTCATCCACAGACCTTTGGCTTCAGTCTTCCTACTCAGCAGAGGGGAAATGGGTACAAACTCTCTGCTTAGCACGACCCTGCTCCAAAACAACCAGAGTGCACATTTAAATTTAAGCATGGAACTTCGTTGCTAGAGGATCTCCAAGCAACAAAATGTTTGGCAGCACAGAGAAAGAGAAACAGCACCAGGAAAACCTTGGCCTCCATACACAAGACAGCCTACAAACCCAACAAAAGTGATGCAGAGAAGAAGAGAACAACCTGGCCACCTTCTACAGAGTAGGAAAGAGTAAGATACCAACTTGAGGTACAGCATGGATATTAAGCGAGGGAAAATAAAAGAGAAAAAAAAAAAAGACAATCAGTAAACATAAGGTTTGTGAAGCTCCAGAACTTGGGGAAATTGCAAAGTCTCCATCTTTGGCTATCCTTCAGAGGCAGGTAAGACTTCTTTTCTTCATGTAGAGTCCCAGCTTAGCAAGAATTGGAAGACCTTCAGCTTCATCTCCCTTATTCCTCGGTCTCGCCTCTATAGGAGAAGGCAACCCACACCACAAAGGGACCTGGGTTACTTCATCCCATACAAAGTCCAAGAGAACATACAACCCCGCCCCAAAGGTATGAACTAAAGGACACCACTCTCAGTTGCCAATCGACCAACGTGGGCCCTGGAAACGATTCAGGGCTTTTAGGTTGGGTCTGGGTGGTGATTTGGGTTTCTTTTTGTTTGTTTCTTGTAAAAAGTGGTGCTTGATTTGGCTGATATTAGGTTAGTTGGTTGTCTTTTTGTTTTGCTTTTTTTTTTCTTACTTTGGGCTTTATTGCTTTGTTGTATGTTTGGTTTTGAAGTTGTAATACTTTCGTGCAAAACGACCAAGTCACAAGAATCCCATCCCCAAGCCGTTAAGCAACGCTCATGGATTTCTCCAGAGCATTTCTCCAGCACACGTGGGAGAAGGAAGGATCCAGGAGGCAGCCCAGTGCCCAACCCTTTCCCAACACAGCTATGAGTGAGGCCTTTGAGGAATAATGACCAAGACCTCCTCCACCAATGGTATTTCACCACCACCTCTATGCACCTCAGGCTGTGCAGCCCTTTCCTGACCCACCAGAAGCCCTCCACCTGCAATCATCCACAGCAAAAGGAAGAATTGCCCGTTATTTTTAAGTGATTCACCTGAAATGTCGGGTCTTCCACCCAAAATATTGGGTCTTTCATTCCATCTTTACATTGATGGAGTGGAAAACTCCCATTCTGCTCCCCTGAAACGTTGAGTCTTCCACCCAAAATGCTGGCTCTCCCATTCCGTCTGTATGTTGATGGAATTGATAACTCCTATTTCATTCTCTTTTTTTTTTTTAATTAAAAGTTACTAAAAAATACTAAATGGGAAGGGGAAGGGTGCTGGGGAAAGAAGGCAAAGCAGCAACTTGGTGTCCCAATGGATTAGACTCATGCCTTCAGCCCTTGTGCCCTATATAAGGTGACCTGCCTCTCTCCCTCCTCTTGGTGATGGTTTTTGAGCTCGACAGCAAGACCTGGGAGGAATAAAGCTGTTCCCACACACGCCAGTACTGGGGTCCCCACAGTGAGCCATGCTAAGCCCAAGGAGGAGGAGAAGTGAGGAAGATGCGAGGAGGAGGCCGAGCATGCCATGCATCTACCTGTGTAGGGGAAGCCTTTTTTACCACGCTCCAGAGATGAAAGCTTAATGAATAACCCTTCTAAGCTTCCTTGATCAGCTGGCTTTGCTGTGGAGTGAAGGGCACACCTGGTAAGATTAGCAGTCTATCGTAGTCAATCAGAGAGAGGAAACAGAGGTAAAAAAATAGAGAAAGTACAGGAGCCCCTAATGCCAATCTACCTGGAATTCAGTCCTGGGGTTTGTTTCTGTTGATATGGAAGAGAGGAGCACCTTTTGAGCAGAGCAGAGCTGTGTCACCTGTGTGCTACCAGTGCAAAGCTCCCCAGAAACCACAGGGAGGAAACATCTACAGATAAATTAAATCTGTTCCTCCTACGAAGCATAAGACATTAAATTCATGGTAGGAGAGGCAGGCAGTGTAGCAATCACCATATGGGATTCTGTTTTGCCATAAAAACTTTGCTAACTTGCTTGCTATGTGTTTAACACCCACATGGGCTCTTCCAATGGGACAAATGTTGGACTTGATGTGTCCTTCCAAACTCAGGATATTCTATGAAATGTATATAGAGAGTGACTCTTACTCTTAAAACAGCCTCGATCCTGTATTTTCTGTAAGGTTTCATTAAAGGGTACTGGGAGAATGAAGGCAGAGTACTACCTAAAAGTGATAAAATACTGTATTACTTCAACCCAAAAGACTAAAATCCATTTTCAGAAGTCACCTGAATTGAAAAACTTCCCTTTTTTTTTTTTTCTTTTTTGAAGCACATATTCTAACAAATTATCTTTGAAAATCAACAATACTGGGAAGACAGTCACACATAGAAAGAGATGCATGTCCAGAATCCAAGAGGCTACACCAGCAAAGCATCCATGGGCGCTCTCTCATGTCTGCCTTCCTCTGCCATGCAGTGCACCTACTTCTGTACTTAGGTTTCTGCTACCATCTTTAGCCCATGGTTTCTTAAAACTGATGGGCGCCGAAAGCGAGGCTGTGGGGTTTTCTTCCCTTTCCACTGCTGCTTTAGCTCTGCCTTGAGCCCGTGACCTTCAAAAAGATGAATTTTACAACTCCAAAGATCACAACGCCCCCCAACAGCCCCACCTGTGGTTGCTTGAGTGCTGTTAAAGCAGCCCTCCTCACTAATTATTTAATTAAGTGATGGTTATAAGGGAGGTCGGCTTGTGTACGGCCAACGGGACGGGGCTGCAGGATATGAACCCACCCCATTGCATCTCCAGCCCAATGCTCCAACCTCAACCTATATCCAAAGCCTAGTGGCTTCCCCTTGAAAGTGTAATAAGAAAGGGAAGGGAAAAAAAAAAAGAAAAAAAAAAGAAGAAAAAGAGACACAAAGCCCTTTCACCCCCCAAGAAGCACCACAGTGTCAGGAACCAAAATCAACTATGTTGGCTGTGCCACTGATAGCCAGATCCCAATATTCAACAACTATCACCAGGAAAAGCCACTCACCTGATAAACTCTCTGCTAGGCTCCACTTGTAGCCTGAATAGTCTGCTGCTAGGATGCCTGACAATGAAATGCAAGTGTAAAAGGCTGAACACATGTTGCAGTCATGGGGGGCATTGGGTAGGGAAAACATTGTAGGCTAGGTTTAATTCATTATCCACACTTAAGTAATACCCCAATATTAGTGTAATACACTTAAGTAATACCCCAATATTAGGCACTGTAACTTGAATATTTTTGACTCTATACAGGATATTATCTGCAGACGTGGGAGGCACAGCGAGATACTTGCAGATATTTGTAGTGCAGTTGGCAAACGTTGAGATGAATGGTTTAATTGGACCAGAGAGGTCCAAAGAGAAACACAGAATGGAGAAAATCTGTCCTGGGGAAGCTCCAGCCACCTCCAAGAATGCTCTCCACTAACCAGGGATGTGAAATGAATGAGAAGTGGCTGCCAAAGAGGCGTTTCTATGCATCCCCAGAGCATTGGGTGAGGAGATTCATTGAGTCTTCATTGGTCTCCAAGAGGAGCTTGGTGTGATTTTAGGGCTACAAGGGGCTGGGATCTAAATGAGTTTCCCAAGTTAGCACGCTGCCCCATAGATCACACGTGAACATGGACATTAGCATACACTACAGAGCATTTAGCACATGGGAGTATAAAGCAGCTATTGTTCTGCAGTAAGGTGATATGTAACCAGATAGGCTCTGGCTTCAGCTAAAAACCATTTTCCCAGCGCTTTGCTGACTCGTTCAGCAGGAACCTTGCTGCTGCAACAGAGTGCACATTCATGGCCAACGAACGGGATCGAAACGATGGGTTCTGGGGACAAAATGGATCTGCAAAAGCATCCCTGCTGCAAGGGGACCCACTGGACCAAGCACAATGGTCCGTCCATTGCTCTCAGCTCCCAGGAAAGGCAGAATGAATGAGAGCAGGAGGAGGTGGCTGGAGAACCCGCAAAGTCCAATCCTTGTTCATTGCACAGAATCAATCATAGACTCGTTAAGGTTGGAAAGACCAATAAGATCATCCAGTCCAACCATCAACCTCATGCACATGACCGCTGAGTTGCAGCCCTCAAATCTCTCCGTACTCAGCTCCTATTTAGAAGAGTGACTTAGACTCTTATTTTTTGCACTAAAACCACACAAAAGTCCTCCAAGAAGATTTAGCCAAGGACACAGTGACATACCTGGGGTAAGAGCAACAGGAAGCATCCAGCAGGTTGGATGTGAATGCTGCAGAACTGAATATGAACACCACTGTCTGCTGATCCTTATGACTTCAAAGGGGTCGAGCATGCTATATTTACACCAGCAATAAAACTGCTTCCATTAGCTCCATGTTCACCTTTTAAATGCAACAGCCCTATCACACACACACCAATTAGAGCCCCCTAATGCTCGGGAGCACAGAGCTTTCTTTTTTTCCTTTTTGAAGGGAAGAGATGAGGCAGCTCAGGGGAATAGAAGAGAGCCTTTCACTGCTGAGGGCTCTCCTTCAAAGCTACCACAGGGCAGAGGGAACAGATGGCCATTTCTGAGGGCTGACGTGAAATGAGAGATTGTCTCAGGCCGTGTCCTGGTGGACAACATATCGACACTACAAGAGCACTGGTAGTGGTTTCTGGTAGAGAAACCAGAAGGGATGACGTGGGGACAAAGCTCCTGACCTGATCAGAGCACCTCTCCTTCCTGCTGGAACAGGAGGAATAGAGGCAAATTGCTGACAGCAAGGAGGAAAACTCACGAAGAGTAAAGTTTTGCTATGATCTGTGAGCAACAAATAATGCCACAATTCACTTCAAGCCAAACTCTCTCCCTTCTTAGAGGCTGTCTTCTCCAAGCAAACTGCTGCGCATGTGCTAAAGAGTCCAAATGGCCATGGGTCTACTGCACTCCTCCCCTGGATCACAGAGGAGTCCACATTAACCACAAGAAAATATAACAGAGAAATAAATCTATATGCATTAGAGAATAAACTCAACCCAAGGATACCATGGGGGTGGGAGGAACAACTTCAACTCCATCTTTGGAAAAGATTTGTAGGAAGTCATGTCAGACAGAAACATTGGGCTTTTTTTTTTTTTTCCTCTCTTGGAACTTGCTTTGCAGCTTTACCTCGACTCACAGAAGCACGTGTGCTCCTGGAAAGCTTTGCAGTGCTGTATCAATGTTCCAACCTGCTGCTGGAGCCCAGAAGGCACCATCCTGCTCTGGCGTGAGGCTGCAGCACAGGAAAATAGGGCGATTCCCTGCAATCTTCCTGCCCAGCTGTTGACGAGCTGCGGATTACCACTGTCACATGAGCTGCTTTACAGCAAAGCCAAGCTGTCTTCGGGAGCTGAGAAGGTCACTGGGAGACAGGGGCCGCCAGGGACAGCGCAAACGCCCTCGATTCACTTCCCAGGGGGACTGCAGGTGGAAAGCATGGCGTTCCCTTCTGCTCAGAGGGCAAAGAGAAATGGTTCTGCCTTATGGGCTCCTTACAGGGACAGCTTTACCTCTTTCTTGTGCACACCATCAAACCTTTGTGCAGTGCCACCCAAATTGCCATCTCTCCAAGCCTTCACGCCATCCTCTGCCACCTCAGAGAAGAAATAAATGAATCCTTCCTCAAAGGAGTGGCAAGAAAACAGCATTTCAACCCCAAAAACCAGAACAGCATGGCTGAGGAATGGGTTTCACTCAGAAAAAAGTATTTGGAAAAACAGAAGTCTGAAGGTCTCCGGTGCAGCCTCTTGGGGCCATGAATTAAAACCCTCCATCTCCATCATCCTGCCACTGGTAGGGCTGGTGGGCAATGAGCACATGGCTGCAAGAGAGCAGCTCAGGATGGGGCTCTTTACTATGCCCCAGAGGCATGAGACAGATGGGGCTGTGCTTTTAGGCTTTGCAACAAGTCCCTGCTACGGGGAACCAACGGAGAGGATAAATATGGCCACAAAATGATCCTTTAGACATGCTCAGAAATAGAAGAGGGAGGAAACTGTGCTCTAATGTACAAACCTAATGAATTCATAAGCAAACAGACCCACAAACCGTGCTTTGGTGTGCTCAGGAGAGCCGTGCTTGGGAAAACACAGCTTTGTGGCACAGCTTATAGGGTATTGCTCCTTGCAGGGGGATGCCCAGTGGTGGGGGGAGGCTCACAAACCCCCATATCATTTCATAAAATGCCTTGCGTCGTTACGACAGCTTGCTGGGATGTCAGCCAGCTTCCCATTTGGATCAGGTTGCACCCTACGCCCGCTGACAGACATTAAACCCTGGAGCTTGGTGCTGCCCTGGAGTCAGGCAAGCCTCTGTTCAATCACTCAGACCCCAAAGTCCAGCAGAGAAGGGTGTCCTAACCTTGTAGCCATAGGGCTACCTGCCAGCAAGGCGAAGACTGAGCCCTGCTGCCATGAAACAGCAGATTGCTGTGATGCAGGGGTGAGTGGGGGATTAGGAGCCCCTCTCCATCTGCCCTGATGCAGTGTAATCTCAGTGCTCACTCACTCCCCCAGACCCACGAATAGCATGGGGGTAGCAGTGGGCTGCTACAGGGAGCAAAGTGGAAACGTGGCCACAGAAAGCGCTCACCTGTCGCTATGTGAATGGGGATGAGGGAATGCTGCTCCAAGCAGGATGCAAGCTGAAATCTGAACTGAGAGATGTTCAAGGTGCCCTGCATCATCACCCACTGCTCATCCCAACTTGCAGGGTCAGCTGGGATCAGGGTGCAAAAGATGCAGTGGATAAGGTGCGAGCTCTGCTCTGCTCCAGGAAAGGTGAAGTGGGATCTCAGGTGGGATTGAAGCACATGGTCCTTCCCCTGGTGCCATGCTCTGGTTTGAGACAGGCAGCAGTAGCCCCATGGAGGACCTGCTCTGCCCACAGAACTTCTGGTTGGGGTTTGGGGGTGGGCACAGAGGAGCACTGCAAGTGCAGCTCTTTCCACAGAGCCTCTGGTTGAGGCTGGGCATGGAGAAGGATGCATGGAACAATGACTCACCGACATCTGCTAAGGGTCAGGAGGAGCAAGCAGCACCACAGAGCTGCTGTTCTGCTCCATCCGTGCCCTTTCCTTTAGGGCAAGAGCTACAAATAGCAGCACAGTGCTGAGGAGGTGCAGCCCATCCCAATGCAGAGCTCCTTCACCTCCCATTCCAGCATTTTACATCCCAGTCCTGCACTGGGAAGAGTGGCAAACCAACCAGGAAATGTTTGTCTACCCAGCCTCGAGACATATTTAGGGAGACAAGCTAAGTATACTGCTTGCCTTTCCTTTCCCATCCAAATACAAACCCATCGCCTTTAGATAAAAACTCAATAAAGAATTGGCATCTCCAGCTCTTGCATGAACACCAAAAACCCCAAAACTGGAAAAAGAAAAAAAAAAAAAAAAAAATAATAAAGTTTCCTTCCCAACAGAACAAGGATGGTTGCATTTGGCCCCAAGATGAACACAAGACTAAAGCAGTTTGGGATCCCCCAAATACGAGCTTCCAAAAGCAAAATTCTGAAAGCAGGTGGGGGGGATCTCCAGCTCTTGCATGAACACCAAAAAACCCCAAAGTACAAAAAAAAAAAAGATAAGATTTTCTTTCCAACTGACCCAGGATGCCTGCATTTTGGCACTTGGGTGAACGCACATGGGATCCCCCAAATAGGAGCTTCCCAATGCTGTGTTCAGAAGGCAGATGGATGGACAGCGTCATCTAATCTGAATTTTCCAATAAGAATTCAAGACGAGCAGAGAGTTTCAGCTTTCTGCTACAAGCACAAAGCTGGGAAGGAAGTGCAAGAGCAAAACTGCTTTAGAGGACTGCAGAAGGCATCAAACAGCTGTAAATTTGAGAAGAGAAGCTAAAGAAGCCCTGCTCGGCTCAGAGTCAATAGCAGCCCTGTTTCCTCTCCAAGCCCAGAACAAAAGGGAACATATTGCAACCATGCCCAAAGAGGAGGGCTGCTATTTCTTTAAATGTAATGTTAATGCCTTGTAATCAGCTTTAATTTTTAAACAGGCCCAGCCCTCCTGTCCATTTCCTCTAATTCAGGACACGTGGAAGGTAAATGGCCTGCGCTTAAAGCAGGGCAGTGACAGCTGGGGAGCCTGTAAGTCCCAACTGCTGATAGCAGGGATGGATGTCAGAACTCACCAGGGGAGGGGAGCTGGGAGGTGCTGGGGCTGCTGGAAGGTCATTGAGGCGCTGGGAGATGGGGGTCAGGCTCATTGGCTGGCTGGGAGCTCCCTGAAACCAACGGGGGCCAAAGAAACACTCAACACTATCCAGTAGTAAAGGACTTGGCAGTGGATCTCTGCCCCATTCCCACTCCCCACTGGGAATGGCATTAGGGTATCTTTTAGGGACAGCAACAGATAAAGCCAAAGATTTCCTTGTGTCTCCTTCTTTATGAGCTCAGATGCGTTCTGGAGCTTAAAAAAAGATAAATCAGACTTCATGTGAGATTTGTGCAAAGGAATCACAGAATCATTACAGCTGGAAAAGGGCATCCAGTCCAACCATCAACTCATCCCCACTATGCCCACTCATAGAGTCATTACTGTTGGAAAAGACCTCCAAGGTCATCCAAGTCCAACTGCCCACTGACCACCAATACTGCCCACTAAGCCACATCCCTGGGGACAAGGAAATGAAGAAAGCAAAAGCAAAAAGAATCCACAAAACTCAAAACGGCTTTTGCTTGCACTCCACTCTTTGCCAATAGGAGACCAAGACATCCACCTTACAAAAACGTCTTCTCCCCAGAAATCAAGTGATACGAGTATCCCTACTCAAGGAGAACAAACTGCACCCAAAAATCACTATTTTATGTCTTCACCACGGTGGCAATAAGCCAAGGGATGCCCTAAAGGCAGCAACGTGGCATCCAACTCAGACAAAAGGGACCAAATGTGTGCTGGGAGCAGCCTTGGTCCCTGCGTTGGTGTAGCAGAACCTGGCTGGTAGGAGAAGCATTGAGCACAGCACGAGAGGGAGATGTCTGAGCCACTATTTTTAGCCCTGGTTGGTGGGCAGACAAATCCTAATCATCAACCAAGATGCCCAAGCAAAGCCCCACATCACACGGCAAAGATTAGGGCCCAAGAGAGATGCAGGACAGCAGCAGAATGCAGGAGGGCCACCATAGTGGGTTTAAGCTGTGCCAAAGGCAGTGGGTCTCAATGGTCTGGTGGGGCTCCAAGCAAACAGAGAGCTGTGTGGGTCTGGAAGAGGATAAACCTGCTGGAGGTGATGCTCATGGCAATGTATTTAACTCGGACCATCATCTGTTTCTACAAAGGAATTTGTCCTCTAGAAAGCAACTCTCCTTATCTCTGCTCAGGAATTCATCCATCCAGCATCCAGTGACACCATTCCTCTGCTGGGTGACACCTGCAAAACTGTGCTTCCTCCTTTCTCCTTCAGACTGTGGTTAAATTCATTAAAAAAATATACATCTGCTCTCACCAGGAAAAGTGCTGCAAAGAGCTCAGCCCTTTCCTCCAGGTCCACTCATATGCTCAGCAGCACTTTGCCAGTGTCAGTGCTCACCTGGATCCTCTTTCCTCAAAAAGTAGAAGCTCTAGGAGGGAAATTTGTTTATTACTGATTCAAAGGAGATTGACATTTGCAGCAGACCAGCCTCTGAGCCTCTGCCTATCCTCTTTCTCATGGAAAAAAGGGTCAGTGTGCTGCACCTCCCTGTCCCCAGGCATCCCAAAGCAAGGATATTTCAAAGCAAGGATGTCCCAGACAAGAACACACAGTGCTTGGCTATACCCCATGCATCTGCCTCTGCTTTCCTGCACCACCTCACCCAGAAGGCACTTTGCAGAGGGTTTCCCATCTCCCATCTGCCCTTCAGCTGAGGGTGGGGACAGCTTTGCACCTGGCACCCACTGCTGCCAGCAGCCTTCCAGCTACTGAACGTGCTGCAGGAATCGCCTGCTCCATGCAGCAAGGTCCTGTCACCCAAAATGCTGCTATGGGATCATTTATCCTACGCTAATTGCAAGGTATGCTCCTGCCCTGACGTCTTCCTTCTGCTTGGAGCTTGCTAATCCCTGCTGCTGATGTCACAGCCCTAATGCTCTCCGTGTGCTTTCATCACGACACGATAATCCTGGCTCACCCCCGATGTGAGCACATCTCTCACATGGAGAAATGGGGGTGAATTTGGGGGTGAGCAGGAGGAAGGAGCTTGAAGCCCAACACTCAGCTCACAGTGTCCAAAAAGCAGCACAATGGCACCAAAACAGAGTCAACCCCATGCACCGAGGCTGTTCCACTGACATCCTTGGGGCAGGGATTCTGCTTGGTGTTATATTTATGGGGTGGCACAGCCCCACATGGGCAGAGCTTCATCAATATTGAAGCATGACATCAGGAAGGCTGCAGCCAAAGCAGCTTTCAGACCTCAGCTCGGATCGATCCTGAACAAAAGGCTGCAGTATGGGGACAGCTCTGTCTGCTCTCCTCCCAGGGCCGATCAGGTTTCCTTCCTCAGCACACCCTGAAAGCACCCAGAGTGCACAGTCCCCTCTCAGCAGAGCATTTTCAATATGCAGGCAGCTTCTGCTGCAGTCCCATTCACCTGTTTTAGGTATTACATTGTTTTAATGCTTTGCTTTCAGAGCAAACATCCTCAGCTCAAAGAGCACAGTCATCCCTCCCAGCATTCCTGATTCCAAGACAGGAACATGCAGAAGTTGCCTCTTTTCAGCCAGTTTCATTCTTTTGGGTCGCTTAATATTGCTCACGAGCCAGAGGATGAATGGGAAAGATACTAAGATAGAATAAAGCAAGTCAGAAAGTAATTATATCTAGAGGCTAAAATCAGGAGCAACACCTTACCTCACTGCAACCAAATGTGTTCAACCACTGCCTCAGTTTCCTCATCGATAAGACAGGGAAAAATTTATAGTTGAGGGATGAGAATCCCCCCAAAAGAGCCTACACGACGTTGAGAGCACTCCCAGGGAGATGCATTAATTAAAAACGTTGGCAGATGAAGACCCTGCCAGCAGCAGCAAGCAGGGCTATTTGCTGGTTCATTCCACCACGGCTCCAGGAGTCATTTCCCCATCTCCTTCCTGCAACTGATTGCACCAAATCCCTCCCCCTCGTCTCTTTGTTGGTTCCCATTGCACCACACAGCCAGGTGGAGGTGCCCAGGGCAATGCTCACCCTCACACCAAAAGCTTTGGTGCAGCAAAATCCTCAGCGCCGCTGGAAATCCACCTGCTCTCCACCCCCAGCTTGAGACAGAGGAACAGATATCCAACATCTACTCCATCCCTAAGGGAGACACATGAGCTGGTGAGGTGATGAGCCCACCAGCACGGCGCTTCCAGGGGCTCTGTGCCCACAAAGCAACCCCTTAATGCTGCTGGGGAGGAGAGCGGATCGAAGGAGGTGGGAGTGGGGCTGTGGGCACAGGGAAAGCTGCAGCCTCTTCCCTTAATGCATTCTAAATCCCATCTGATTTCCAACAGTGCTGTTAGAAAAAAAAAAAAAAGGCAAAAAAACCCATCCAACCAACTTGCATTAAAGTGGTATTAACGCTGGTGAGTGACTCAGGTTTAGGGGAAAGCATCCAGAGGAATCCACACTCTGAATGTGTTTTAAAAGTGGACCAAAGGGAGCTGGGATGCAGATTGCTCAAGGATCCTAACGTGCTCGTACAAATCTGGTTAGCTGCTGGGGTTGAGCATCCAGGAGCAGATTCTTCCTCCTATACAGACACAACACCTCTCCCCATCATGCTCTGCTGATGGCAAAGTGTAATACAGCACAGCTTCACTCTCTGCATCCAATGCACTCCCTGCCTCTGGGAATGAGTTTTCCCTTCATTTCTGCTCCCTCTTCAGGCTGGCTGACTGCATAGCAAGAGGCATCAAACTAAACACCACAAGTTAACCACTCTGGCCTCCATATCCCCAGCTAAACGTTGATGTTTTACAGTGAGCACGTACCCCACGCGATGAGGATTTTGATGGGAGCCAACCTGAGGTCTCGTAGAGGAAGACACCTGCTTGGCATGCAAAGCAACAAGGCAAGAAGCCACCTGGCTGCACAATTTGGCAACTAGAGCCCAAATAACCCTACCCTCAAGGCAATGTTTCCTTACAACTTACAATCACAGAATCATTTGAGTTGGAAGTTGAGTTCGAAGGTCCACACCATTTTATTCACACTGAGCTGGTAGTGGATGACTACTGAAGTCACCAGACTTGGCTGAACAGATATTGAGATAAGAAGCAAGAAACATTACAGACATTATATAGCTCCCTACAACTAAGCAGTGGCAGTGCTTACAGTGCAGTGGTGACAAGATGGAAAACAAAGCAAAAGGCAGCGACCTGACTGCTGCTGGATGAGTTATCTGCCAGCAAAGCACAGAAGCTTTGTTCAAGAGCAGCCACCAAGCATGCAAAAAGCCTCAAGAAAGGAAGGAAATGAGTGGGTAATAAAGTTTTGGTCATATTTGCTGCCACTCTACAGCAAATCATTTTGGAGATGTGATTACTGCAGCACCAAGTAGCTGTATTGACCAAGTTCTGGACGCTGTGCAAAGAGAGAATGGGAGCAATCTTCTTTCACAGAGCCTTAAAGGAGGAGGACAGCAAATCCCCAGCACTATGGGGAGCAAACAAGAGGTCAACACTACCATTCAGCTCTCCAGGCTTTTAAAGTTATAACCCACAGAACCCTTTCACTAGGGACAACTTGACATTAAAAATAAGGGGGAAAAACTCTGGCTAAGACAGAAAACAAAAATAAAATTAAAAAAGAAACAAAACAACAGTTTTCCAGCAGCCTTACCATTGGCATCTTGGACTCCAGTGAGTGCTCCTACTGCTGCTGCAGTTTCACCAGATAGGACAATCTGTCCTCCACCCTGAAGAGTGGCTTCAGCCAGCGTGGCGACGGCGTGGGCAGCTGCTTCACTGCATGGGAGAGGAGAGAGGAGATTTAGGAAGAAAGGCAAACCAACCACACTGCTCCAGCAGGACCCATTTTCATCAGGCACTGCGTGTCATGGAACAAACACAGCAAGAAGGGATCCATATCACGGCCAGCTGAAGTTATTCAGAATGGGAAATCTACAGTTGAGGAGGAATATTTGGCAATAAGTTGCTTCCAGTGGCTTTTTGACAGCTTGCCTACCAGGATATCCATCCCTTTGTCTGGGCTTTACAAAAAGCTTTTGGACAATCTAAGGACATTCCATCACACGGCTCCCTCCTGACTCTGGTTCTGGGCACAAAACTCTTTTTTTTTTTTTTTACCATTGAATCTTCCCAGATTTTACAGCTCCACCTTCATTACTGATTTTACCTTGCCCAGAACTTCACCAGCACCAGGAACACATCAGCAGCTCTCAATTTAGCCAAGATACAGTGCTTCTCCCCAGCCACGTGGTTTAATAATTCTTTTTTAATGAGTGATTGGTAGCTAAGCATGGTGTGCTTGAGTTTCTTTGTACAAGTGAGGTCATACCAAAGGCCTTTCTAATGCAGCAACCCTGCTGTGAGAGCAGCCAGCATCAGTATTTAGGATCCATATACAATCCTTCCCTTCCTTCTCAGCTTCCAGCAGTCAGCACTGTATTGATTTCCACACAGCACAGACAGCATCTGGACCATCAGGTTTGACCCCTTTGAAGCCCATTTTTGTATTTATTTTTTGCTTCCACAACATCTTGTCCAATAAACTACCACCTCAGTCTTGCTGTTAAGTCTGATGTTGCCAGAAATGAGGGACTTGGTTAACAGGCATGGTGGCGATGGCTTGATGGTTGGACTTGATCTTAGTTGTCTTTTCCAACCTTAATGATTCTGTGATTCTACAAAATGGAAAAGAACTGCTCCCTTTTCATTCTCTCATGACTTCACAGACTTCCAGGGTCCCTTCCAACTCGGGATATTTCATGATTCTATGACTCTCTGATAAAATGGACTCCAATGTTTTATAAGTCACTTCCCACTCACTGTTCCTCTCACCTAATTTCCTGCTTGGATGCTGCACACTTTCCAACTGAACTCACTCAAGGTGGATTTTCATTTCTAAACAGCCCCAAGTCATCTCAAGTTGCTTCCTTCACTCAGAAAAAATCAAAATATGTTCAGCAGCCCTGAATTAAATACAAAGTGGAAGGCTTCTGATTCCTGAGAACTGTCAGATTCAAAAGGCTGTTTCCAAAGGCAAGAGGAAAGTGGAATATCTTCAACAAATTCCAACAGCAACACTTGAAAAAACTAAAACATGAACTTGTTTAACCTGATATGTGACCCACCAGAGCAGTGACTTAGATAAGGGAATCTCTGAGATCATCAGTTCCTCATCTCCTATTTTCTGATAAGCTCTTGTCCAACCCTGTAGGAACTTGGTATTTATGTCAGGGATACAAGCTTCACTGCTTCCATGAAAACCAACAAAATGTGAATCTTGCAAACCTTTGGAGAACTGCAGAATTGCTCAACTGAACAGAAGTGAAGTTTTGCTGTTAGTTGGTCTTGTTGCATAAAACAAAAAGTATGTCCCTTTCACATGGAAGGGTTTTGAGGGCCCATCACCTAGGTGAGCTCCCAGCTTATGATTATTAAGGAAAAAGGGTGGCAACAAGCTGGGAAATAAAACCCCTACTGTGTACAAGCACAGCTTGCACACACAGCTGTCTCTGGAAAGCTCTTCCATTTCTTTCTTCCAGGAGACTCCCTTCAGTTTTAACATTTCTTCTTATTAGATCTATAGAAACTATGATTCTGGAATCTATAGAAACTATGATTCTGTGATTCTAGACTCTGAACTTCCTCAACTAACACAGGAAAAGAGCCATTCATCACGACCCCAAGAGCTAAAGCTATTAGAGATGGGATGAAATAAAGTCTGGGTTTCAAGGCTTTCTCCTGCAGCTCCATAACTAGTTACTTGAGTTGTTTTTCCTACAGTGTCCTATAAAGTTCATGTGATTTTAAAAGGCAATTTTACAGTGGAACTATTAGTAACAAAGCTTGATCAATCAGCCTTATGTGGTAGCAGAAGAAAACATACTGGATGGACTTGGATCTGGATCACAAACAGAAGCAGTTGTTAGTGTGTTTGTGATTCAATAGCAATTTCTTCAAATCGTATTGTGGTTGGGTTAAAAGGGTTCTCAAGGATCCCAGAGCCATAGAACAACTTGGGGTGGAAGGGACCTTAAAGGTCATCAAATGGCTTGGGTTGGAAAAGACCTTGAGGAGCATAGAACCATAGGGTGTTTGGGTTGGAAGGGACCCCAAAGCAACCCCAGCCCCACTCCTGCAATGGACTGGAAGCTCCCAGTTGCTCAAGCTGCCCAGGGCCCCACTCAGGAATGAGGCACCCACAACTTCTCTGAGCAGCAGTGCCAGGGCCTCTCTGCCCCTGAGTAAATTTCCCCTCTTTTAGTTTAAAGCCATTCCCTCTTTTGCTATCACTATCTGCTCATGTAAACATCACTCTCCCTCCTGCTTATAAGTTCCCTTAAATACTGGGAGCACTTGGAAGCATACCATTGATTGCTCCCAGGATCTAGGTGGCTGCTTTGATAACTTATGATCCACACATAGCACTATTTTGGACCTCTACTCCAACCATCAGCATTGTGGGTTTGTTCTTGACAGGCACTGTTAGCACATTATGACTCTTCGTTAGCAAGCTCAGTGCTGTAACTGGACCCTTGCTGTACAAATCAGATCACGTGGAGAGTACTGCTAAACCCATCTTTCCCTCTTGCAGGAAATTTCCATTCAGCATGCTTCTACAGTTACAGTGGAAACTAAGAACCATCTTACAGACACCTGGGCACAGGTTGAACCTGGAGCTTGCTAAGGAAAAGCCTCTACTGGGGCCGTGCACTGTGACTTTTTAACCATGAGATGAGAACCTAGAAGGAAACACACACGTACCTGTTAAGTGCCATGGTAACAGTTGCTCCTTGTTGCATCTCCTGAGATGCTGCCACTGCTGCTTCTGCTAACGATGCTACTGCCTGCGTGGCCTCTGATGCCTGCGTTGTCTGGATGGTCATCTCACCCCCCTGTAGCGTTGCCCAGTTCTGCTCCACCTATGGGGAAAAACAGAGAGGAAGGTCTTTGGATTGGATGTCATTCCATCAATGGGTGGCTGCTTCTCAAAACAAAGGAGCCAGATAACTCCAAGAGGTGTTTGCAGAATTCTGACTCTCTCCCAGAGACTTCAACAGGGCTAAAAGAGCATCAGAGGAGAAGAACCGTGGTCCAAGTGAGACTGTGGACCCCACAACCATCTCCCAGCCATTGATGGTTTCCTATGGCCAGGGCCTGGCACAACCCCACTTGAGCTCGCAGCTGGGACTTCCTTTTACTGCAGCCATGCACTTAGAAAAGAAAATAGCAAATGGAGTATATTCTGTTCATCTACTTCAGGTACTTAATTCCCCTACTTCCCTTTACATTGATGGTTTCACACTGCTCCGAGTTCATCCAGTCTCAGTTGCTCATTTTTCCCTTGGCCATAATTCTTTCTCCACTTGGAACTCCACCATGTAATGACTTGTATGGCCACAAAACTGACTAAGATGTGAACACAGAATAAGCATTGGATCAAATCACTGAGTAGTGGTAGACAAAGGCCCATCAGCTGGCACTCCTACCAAGATGAAGATCTTTTTCCTTCCCCATCTCTATTCTCATCCATAAACATTCCAGGTCACTAGCAGCCTTGAACACACTAATAAGGATGCCTTAGCAGGTGATGAAGAAAATTCTCTCAATTAGGAACTAGACGCCTCTGCTCCTTTCATTTCTATTGTAGCTTTCTTCCAGATCTCGAGAGATAGAGCTGGTACTGAAAATCCTCAAAGCAGCTCTGATGTACTTCAAGATCACAGCCAGGCTGCTTCCCTCTGCTTCTGGGATGGAAATAGGATCTTGTTCAGAACAAAGCTGTTCTGTGCTGCCACCTGTCGCCAGAAAAGCTCCATTTATACAACGCAAACCAGACTTCCCCCTGCCAGAAATCCTGGTTCCTTACGTTGTCTCTACACTAATGTGCATTTAAACAGTTTAAAGTTCACATCTTAACCTGCAAATCCACCCAAAAGCTGCAGAAAATGATCAATTCTCATTTTGTCCAGAGATCAACAGCCAAAGAATCACACGATTTGCCCACAGCCATGCAATACCTTCTGCTAAACACAGGCTCAAAATATCCCATTCCTAACCCTAGCTGACAACACAGCTGTCAGCATCCAGAGAGCACACAGAAGTCACCCAACACAAACAGATGAGCATGCATTTGCATCATTCATTAAGTCATTAGAAATTGGACTTCATGATGCCTATGGATCCCTTTCAACTCGGGATACTCTACGATTCATTGGACACAATAATTCCTATGGGTCCGTCCCAAAATCATAGAACACCCTGAGCTATCAGCTACAGCAGATTTCACAAGATTAATTACATACACAACACAAAAAAAAAAAAAAATGTATGAAATTCAGGATTTTTTGCCATAGTTGCATTTGTATAATCCTGAATCCAAATGCTTCAACACTTTCTATATGAAATTTCACACTGTCTTGTGCTCACACGTATTTTAACTGTTAACACTGCAGAGTGGGGAAGCAAGGCTTGTTGTTCTATGACCACTTAATGGCAGAAAACATTAATGTGCACGACCCAGATCCTTACCTCTCCATCAGCCACTGCAGAATAATTGACTTGTGCAACAGTAACTGTGGTAGGCAGCTCGGAGGCGTCAGCCAATGTGGCAACGGTGGCACCAGTGCCAACCTATGGAATTCAACAAGATACAGCTGAAGGACAATGGCAGAGTAAAGGGACAAGCAAAGGGACACTCAAATGCTCTCAGATGACAAGGTGTTGCATCCATAGAGAATGCTACGGTGGAGTAACATAGTGGAGTCATGCTTCTCCCACCACTGCATGGAGGTCACGTAAAAAACCTACCCTGCTTATCAGCTATCATTTGTAACACTGCTTATCACCCTTCTGAGTGAATGTTAGTTCATTCTCAGTATCACACTGGCTCTGGAAATTTTTTTCCCCATTTAACAGTTGGGAAAAGACAAAATCTGGGAGATGTGCAGCTTTGTTCATAAGACCTCAACTTTGAAGGGCCAGAAAGTCAATGGCCAACCATCTTTCTTCCCATGGCTCCATCCCAAGGTCACCACAGTTGTTGTGTGGCCACCTAATTAATTGTGCATCTGTTTATGAGTGAAAGCCAAGTCTGAATCCCCGGACTTCTCAGCTATACAGCTGCAAATGCAACTATGCTGCTACAACAGGAAAGCAAGGGATGGGGGTGGAAAAGAGAGAGGACAGAGCTGCTTCTTTGAACTTAAGCAGTGTGCCCTGGTGGCCAAGAAGGCTAACGGTGGCCAAGAGGTTTACCATGATGAGAGAGCAGTATGCCCTTGTGACCAAGAAGGCCAGTGGTGTCCTGTCTGGCCAATGGTTTACCTGCTGGCCAAGAAAGCCAATGTTGTTTTGGTTGGCCAACAGTTGACAAGTGGTTGATCAACAGTCAACCATGAGCCAGCAGTGTGCCCCAGTGGCCAAGAAGGCCAATGGTTTCCTGGGGTTCATTGCACAGAGCGTGGCCAGCAGGACAGGGAGGTTCTCCTCCCCTCTGCTCCCCAGTTCCAGGCAGACAGGGAGCTGCTAGAGGGAGCCCAATGGAGGACTGAAGAGATGAGGATTTCACTCACCTGGATGAGGGACACAGTGCCATCAGGGTTACTGAAGGTTTGTACCACTGTCTGTGAGGGCACCAGGTGTGCTATACTGTGTGTGGTTGTGGTCTGTTGCTGTGTCTGCTGATCCTCAAATGCGTAGAGCAGGTCCTCACGCCCGTGCTGCTTGTAGCAGTTCTTCACGATAGTCCTCAGTGCTTGGGTCCATGACACCTGCCAGGATCACAAGGAGTAAAGAATCAATGTGAAAATCTTTTCTGACCCACTGCAGTGCTATTACTGCTTTTGTGTGTTTTCCTTTTTTTGGGGGGGAGGGTCTTGATGGATGTTTTTCAATAAATTCTCAAAGAAACAGAAGGTTCCTGGTACTTAAATCACTCTCCCTTCATCCCCAAGATTCAGAAATCACCCTGTGCTACTACATTTCTGTATACAGACACATAACAAGCTCCTTTGGCCACGGGAAAGGGCAAATTTCTCAATTACATCTGTTTCTCTAACTTTCAAGGAATCTTCAATTAAGGGATTGACCAAGTAGAAAACCACACACAGCTGCCATTTCCAGACATTCATCCCCACCCAACCAGCTCACATCAGCCTACAGACGTGCACACCATAGCAGATTACACTGACAGGAACAGGTTGGTAGAAACATCACCTGCAACACAGGATCTGTTGCTGTGATACCCTCAAAGACCTTTTCACCTGCTATCTCTTTTTTCCTGGCTCCATATCTTTGAGCACTTCCCTTGATGTAGAGGCCCCTCCTGCTCAAGACGGGGACAGAGAGCCTTCAAGGGCTTCATGATGCCATGACACAGACACTACAGCAAACAAAGTGCACGTTTGGAGAGCAGAGTGGTCCTGGCCCAGCATGAAGGCAGACACACAGCCACGCACCCGCTGCTTCTGCTCATCCGTGCGCACATCGCTTCGGACGTTGGCCCAGGGAATGTCCTCAGGCCACCAAATGGGTTTGCAGCTCTCCTTGCCCCAGCCTGGCTTCCCACGACCCGTGGAATACTTCAGCATCTCTGGGATGAACGCTCGCAGCTGTGCCTGAAACAAAATACATCAGAGGGTTTTTAGGCACTCCCATCATCAAAGTCACAAAGTCACGGCATTTCGTTTCCATCCTGATGGAACTATGGACCAGAGAAGAACTGAATGCCCAAGGAAAATGTACAAAACTTCACCATCTTCTCCCAAATCTCAGCAGAGAAAAGCTTAGAAACGAAATATGGAAGAACAAAACCAAAATTAAGCCAATTAGATCAATAAGGCAAGACACACACTGTGTTAACACACCGCATCGACACACTTTAAGGTTCAAGAACCATCACGAAGAGATCTGAATGGGGGGAAAAGTCAGAATAATGCTGGAATAATCAACAACAATAAAACATTCCTGATGTGACAGCGTCCCTGGGAGTCCTTTTGTCATTTCTGGAGGGCTTCTCACATGTTCTGCCATAGCAGGGAGGTTTCTCCAAACCATCCTAACCACAGCCTGGTTCCAGTCTGGGTACTGTTGGCTTGAAATTGTAAACCAGCTCATTCAGATGCTGCCTCCTGCACGACAGCAGGGATCTGTGGGAGCCAGAAGATGGACTCGATGAACCCTATGGGCCCCCTTCCATTGGGATATTCTATGGTTCTGTGAGTTCTGCAGGAACACAGAGCAGGAAGAGTTCTGCCACAAGAATTAACATGGGCTCTGAGCTTACTTAACAAGACAAATTTGAGTGTACTTGGATGAAAAAGAAAGAAAAAAACCAACTTCTCCGAGCACAACTTCTCACTGTATTGCCTACCTGCTAAGGGCAGTGGGTTGCCTGGTGCAAAAATAGTTAAAAGCTCCTTCCCACAACTGCTATCTGCAAGCCATGCTCCTTGTTAACAGATGGATTAATTACTCATCCTGGGGAGTTCAGCAGCTCGAGGCACTTGTTAGGAGGACTTGCCTTTAATCCACCAGGGAGACAATCAGCTGCTCCAGCACGAGGATGGCTCTAATTAGTGCCATAACGAGACCTCATCCCAGCACTTCTGAGACAAAGACTCCACATCTCCAGGGGTGCAGCCAGCAGGATCTGTGGGAGCCACGTTCTGCTGCCTCCACCCGTGAAACATCCACCAAACAAGCAAAGCTCTCCCCAAAAAGACCACAGCTCACCCTGGTGTCAGCTCTGGGAAAGGCTTTTATAAACCTCCAGCTTCAAAAATTTGAGAGAAATTGACAGAAATGTCTCCTTAACACCCTTTGATCTTCTCAGTTTTAATATTGAATTTGATCAGAGAATCATAGGGACCACTGGAGATGTAGTCCAAGTATCAGTGGAAGCAAACTAACCTCAATTCTATCATCTGAAACGGTACACAGCACAGACAAGTGCTGGGAACAAGGGGTGCTGTGTGAGGAGCTGTGTCCAGGGCTTAAGGATAATGCCTTGATTAGGCTTCCAAAGGGCAAAAATACTGTGGCTGGGAGTCTTCTCTTGGCCCCACGTATCTCCAAAGAGCAGCACATGGGGCTCCTGAGAGTGGAAGAGGGCAAAGAAAGAACTGCAGCTGCTTTTCAACAGCCAACTTTAGACTATTTTACTTCTAACATACAGATTGAAAAGCAAGGCATACATCAAGGTTGTAATAAGGAGCTCCAAGCAGGGAGCTGTGGGACTACAGATCATCCCAGCTGCAGGAGCTCCACTCAAGACAGCAGAATCAGGCATTTCCTCATTGCACATGTACAGCTCTGGCAGAGCATCAGCTCAGCAGAGTCCACAAGCAAGGAGACATTTCTATGCAACAGATCCAGGGTCAGAGTTCCAAAGCCATTCCTATCTCCTGCACAGCTGAAGTGAGTGATGCTCTTTGCTCAGAGCAGCCCTGCTCAGCCTTTATTTCCCTCTAGACCAACAAGGAAGCAGGGCAATTAAAAGGAGAGAGATTTTCACCCTCCCCTTTGAGGAGCTGTTGCCTTTACCACCTGTGTGCAGGTACCTGCAGCTCCCATAGTCACATCTCTTCGTGGTGCTGCTCTATCTGTACTTACAAATATTTAGGGTTTCCACAAGGCTTTGTGTTTCCATAGGGTTTTGTGCTGCTTGGTTGAAAAGCTCTCTAACTGCTAACAGTGAATGGAATTGTATCAGCAGCTCTGGGAATCAGAATTCCTACAAAAAGCAACAGCATCTCCAGCCATGCAACACGTTGCAGTGATTTAGCAGTTCAGTGTTATCACCCACTCTCCCAAAGTAATGTATTTTGTGCTGCTGTGGCACAAAAATGACAGCAGCCTCATCGTATTCAGCATATCTGCTTTGTGCTTCTATTTAAGAGTCTGGCAAAAACTATATTCCTTGGATGAAGTTACCTCATAAACATCACATGCACCATATTTACTCCCTGAAAATTCTGCAAGGAGGAACACCTCCTGGGTTGTGAGAATCCACTAAAGGAGGCTGCAGTGCAGTCAGTTCTGTCCTCAGATGGCCTCCAGGCATGCAGAGCTCTAAAATGTTAAGAGAACACCTACAGTATGTCATCCCTATGTGATATACAGGGAAACTAAGGCTGAGTGTTGTCTCCAGAATCCCAGGAGAAGGGTTGGACTTCAGTACCAGCTCATAATATGCACATAAAGCACTGCAATGATGGATGTGAAGAGCACAAACTGTCCACAGCTTGGGAAAAACCTTCACAAAGCTATTCTGGGTGATCATGTTGTACTGAAAAAAGGAGAGTTACTCCTAACACAAGACTTGCTTTACCACAGCTCAAGTCCTCTCATGCAGCATTAAGCAGCCCCATGTTCCTGTGCTGTTGCATCAGCAATTGGCAGGTTTTTTCCCTGCAAAGCATGAATGGGGAAGAAAGGAAGTGAAAGCATCTATCATTTAAGTGAGCCAAGAGAAGGATGGGAACACACAGTGTCGGGTGGGGGAAGCAAGCAAACCCCAGGGGCACCTTGGCTTGGCTAAATCTTTGTGCAGTGTTTCCTGAAGACCAAGGACACGTCATGCTTGAAAGGAAAAACCTAATTTTTAACCTAACATGAGAAGTATTAGTATTTTTTTCATAGATCTTTGGAGGAAAGGTTGCTTCACTTGAAGAGAAGCAGAGAAAAACTTAAGCAACTCTTGATGTTAAAATTTTTAATTTCCAACTTTATCATAAAAATAAAATCAACAAAAGGCTGGACCTAGACAGAAGGGCAGTCCCCACTTCTCCAGGGCAGTCCCCATCAGTATCTCACCCAAGGTTTGATGTGACTTTAAATAACTGGCAAGCCCCCCTCTGTTCAGGCAGAAAAATGAGGGGATGATCTAGAACACACAAGAAACAGCCAAGAAAGATGATCCAAAATGGTACAGCAGAAGCCACCTCCCTGACCTCAAGGCTCAAAAATCACTGCAATCTGCAAGACAAAATGCATCCCCTGTTCATGGTGTATGGGAGGTCAGGAAAAAAAGCACAAAGAAGGGAGTCTACTCCTTGAAAGGGTGGATAGATGACGGCAGGACAAGGGGAAATGGTTTGAAGTTGAAGGAAGAAAGATTTAGCTTGAATGTTAGGGGGAAGTTCTTTACAATGAGAGAGGTGAGGTGCTGGAACAGCTGCCCAGAGAGGCTGTGATGCCCCGTCCATCCCTGGAGGTGTTCAAGGCCAGGTTGGATGGGGCCCTGGCAGCCTGGGCTGGTATAAAATGTGGAGGTTGGTGGCCCTGCTTGTGGCAGGGGAGTTGGAGCTTCGTGATCCTTGAGGTGCTTTCCAACCCAAGCAATTCTTCTGTGAAGAGGAGTGCTCCCTACAGCCCCCAGCTCTGAGAAACACCTCTGCTGCTGTATGCAGAAAATAAGCAGCAATAACAAAGCTTCACATCTAACTAGAGCCATCACTTCCCATGGGAAAGAAAGAAGAAATCAAGTACATCCCCTGGAGAGATGCAGACACAAACTCCGGTACAGAATAACAGGATGTGACCATAGGATGCCACATCTCTCTCTGGTTCTGCTAAATTTCTGCCATGCCTGTGCTTACCTGGGTCATCTTGTCCACTGAGACTGGAATGCCATCAATGGTGAGGGGTGGTAACTCTGAGTTAACCTCCTGAGGTGCAGGAGCATGCTCTGCCAGTGCTGACTCCAGGTCTTCCAGAATCATGCTCTTGTATTTGCGTACCTGTAGGGAATTGTTAAGCTCAGGTAAACAAGGTGAGGAGCAACAGGAGAGGAGAGGTGAGCAGCAGGGCCAGCCGCCTTCCCCAGGGCAGCGGGGAGATGAAAGAGCAAACAATGCTGTGCAAAAACACCTGCCGGCCCCAAAGGCTTGGCTGCACTGAAAGGGTGATGATGAAATGTTGGGTAACATCATCACATGGAAGGATTTGTGGGATCAAAGTTAAGTTCAGAAGTCAGACTTATCATAGTCAGGATCTGTTCCATTTGCTGGCTGGTCTGTGGTAAGGTGCATGCTGTGCTCACAGACATCCATCGTTACCTGCACTTTTAATTGAGGCTATTAGCCCTGGGGAGTTGTGCTGAACAAGCAAAAACTATGCAGAGAAGGCAGGAACTCAGTGCTAAACTCACATTCATACACTGAACCCCTATTTCCAGGACCTTAAACATGACCTTCAGATCACGGCCAGGCTTGCAAGTCTGCTCTGAGCCAGAATTAAACCTGCAAACAGGGTGAGCAATTTATTGTATGGCTTTTTCTAGAGACACCTACCACGTTCTCCAAAGGTGCAGCTCCAAAAACTTTGAAGACAGGGTTGGGTTTGGAGGGTGAGATGCACAGGACGATGGCTTGCTGCCCCACTCTGGTGGTGTACTCATCCAGCGTGGCACGGAGCTTCCTGAAACACAACCAACAAACAGGTGTCAGCTGAGAGCCCTGCAGAAACACAACCCTTCCCATTGTCAGCTTCCTTTTTGGATGCATCCCATTCACAAACCAGGTGAGCAGCAGAGCCCCAGCTGTCAGATTGGCCACACAGTGCTTCCCTGCTGTGCTCCCCGCAGTCACAGAGCAGCTCAAATATCAGCTATTCTCCTGTTCTCCATTTTTTTTCCCCATTGATGCACAATGGAAAGAGAAATCAGCAGAGCAGCAAAGCTAATGTGCATCTCCTGCTGTCCTTAATTCTGTCACTGGCCAAGAGGATACAGAACTTGTAGGAGAAGAATTTGACTATTTCAAGAATATTTCAGAAAACACAGCTTATTTTACATTTGGGTTCATAGCATCACATTGCAAATCTCTGCTACCCAAACCAGAGCTGTTGGCTCCACAACGAGGCAAGAGCCAGGAGTGTTGCACCAGCAGAGCACAGGGAGCTCACATGCACCTGCCCCATCAGCAAGTCCCCTTGGAATGAGCTCTCTGTAGGAAGAAAATGTTCCTTCATAGACCTTCCTTCTCTTACTAACTTCCAAGCAATGCAAGAGAATGTGTCAGGAACTTCAGCTCATTAAGCAAAAGAGGAGCAGTACCACTGTGTAACCTGAGCACAGCCATAAGAGGACATTTTAGGATCTGTCCTGGTCATTTCAGAACCTGCTGATGGCAGCACAGTGCCAAAAAGCACCACCACCATGTATATAGATCTCAGAATCAGAAACCAGCTTCCCACTCGATGCACGCTGCTGCTTAGAGCTGTTAAATTGATCAGAGGTACAAAAATGATGCATTCTGTCAGTATTTTACACATCACAAAAGAAGCAGTTGCAGAAGAGGAGAAGTAATTCCTTTACAGAGGAGTTTCTTTAAACTATGTTGTTCATATATCAAAGGAGAAAGAAATCTGCTCTTCGCAAATGCTGTAAACATGTGGCTGAGTCACAGGGAGGAGAGAAAAACAGAATGAGGCTATAAAAGAAAAGGAACCTACTCCCAGGAAGCACTGTTTAACACCAAACCTGCTTCATTTCTTTCCACTTTTGTCACGTGCAAAGGGTGTTACAGGACTTAGCAGGTGAATAAACACAGTGTAAGGAAACCAGTTTAGTTTCTCACCAGCTCTCCATGAGTTTGAAGCAGAGGGAAGAAAAGGTGACACTGAATTCACTGCCTCTGTGCACGAACTGTGTGCAGGATGAAGTCAGCAAGCAGAACAGGGTGACAAACCTCAGCTTCTTTCATATAATCTAACTGAGGTCAGAACAGTTTAAAAAGCAAAAATTGGTGTGCTCCAAAATGTTCTAAAAGGCAGCAGTCAACGTTTAGAAAGGGTTCCTAAAGTCGGCATTGCAGTGATCACCAGAGGTTTGCACAACACCCTGCAGGACCAGAGCTCCTTGGTGGCCATCACGTGGGCAGAGATGCTCAGAGGCACTCTGAAAAATTATATCATAATGCAAAAAAACAGGGGCATTCTTCACTTGGTAGATACATCCTCAGAGCTAGGACGTGGCTGTAGCTCTCAGGACAAGCTGTAAAGTCACTGGAAAGGCCTTGGAAGGCAGCGTTACCGTGATGAATTGAACCAAAGCAACACTTTGACCCATTCCTGAAAATTAAAATACTGCTTGTGGGCTACCAGAAATGATGCCTCGCAACTCCTCGAGTTGGGCAGGCTCTGAACAGCTCACAAATAGCACTGAGAGGGATGGAGGAGGTAGGCCAAGGTGTCAAGAGTGCAGGAGTTCTTACCGTAGCAAACGCGTCTGCTGCCTCTTACGGATGGATGGGTTGGATTCAAAAACGTGTGGTCGCTTCCGTTTCTTACCCGTTGCCACAGCAGCAGCTGCTGCCATCCCCACTGGACCTGGAAACGAAACCACAGTGAAGTGAACCAGCTCAGTTCCAGATATGGAATGAATGGCTTGGGTTGGAATGGGTGGTAAAGATCTCAGAATGATGGAACGGTTGGGCTGGAAGGGATCTTAATGATCATAAAATCATGGAATGGCTGGGTTGGAAAGGACCATACAGATCGTAGAATCACAGAATGACTTGGGTGGGGAGGGACCTTAAAGGTCATAGAATTAGAGAATGGTTGTGTTGGAAGGGACCTCAAAGCCCCCCCCCTAGCCCCAACACCTGCTAGGGTCTTAGTTGCCCACCACCACATCAGACTGCCCAGAGTCCCATTGTTTCTCCATGTGTCAGAGGTGAAAGGCCACACCAGGTGACCCCAAAGCTTTGTGTTTAACAAAGGTGCAGATACAGGAGCAGGAAACCCTAATTTATTTTAAATATTGAGAGCCAATTTAGGCAGAAAAGCTGCACTGTGCCCAAGTTTTGGGTATGGGGAAGCACGGGAGGCATGGGAAGTGCAGCCAGGGACTGGGGGATACCTGGGGTTCCCTTAGAGTGAGATTCTCCTGCAACTGCCCACCAGGGTGCTGGTAAAGAAAAGGAAAATCCTGCAGGAGTTGAGGCTGCAAAAATAACAAGCAAAGCAGTGGAATGTTCAGTGCAGTGGTGGAATGCTCAGTGGGATGGTGTTCAGGACCATGAAGCTCTGAGAGTCAATGTACAGGCACACAAGAGCTCCAAGAGTGATCAAGCATGGTGAAAGACTACTTTTGAACACTGCCACTCAAGTAGATTTCGCATCTGTGTTTCAGCCTGTTCTCTAGGAGAATAAAGCTGAGAAGAAGCCAGGACCCAGCCCAGCCCTGCTCTTGACCGCAGGAGATGGTAGGCTCATAGCCCATGACTCAAATACACATTTGGGGAACCACCAGATACAGGGATATTTTTTGTGTAAACTCTCAGTTTATATCACCTGGGATGGCAGATCATCATGATTAACTCATTTAAATGGTTTAGGACACAGAATATACAGCAAGCTATCACACATGGCCAGCAGGTCCTCACACCACTTGGATTCAAACAAGTAGGTATGTGACCACTGCAGCCTTCCAACCTCAACCTGAACCACATCTTTACCTGTTTCTCCCCATTTGTTCACTATCATTTTTCCTTCTATATAAGCTTGAAGCCATTGGCAGTAACCTCTACACAACTATCTCTTCTCCATTAATACTTATTCCAACAGCTAACGTTGGGCACACAATCCTCCTCCTCCTTTCATACCGTACATATCCAGAAATGTTTATCCAGGAGCAGTTGCCTTTTCACCACTCTCTATAGAAACTCCTAAAGATTTTACCTTTTTGTTAAGGCAACCTGTTGGCATGTCCTCACTTCCAACTGCAAGCTGTCTGTAGCAAGGGTAGACTGCTCAGCATGTTTAGCAGGGATGCTCACCGCATCTATAAGCGCCGATATTGAGCTGCTTTGCACAACTTCTGACAAGCAGGTCAGGAGCTTTATTCCACAAATAAGGAGCCAGATCAGTTTGTGAGTGCTTATTTATCGATTATCATTGCTTTCTTCTACTAGAGAGGTAGACCCACTTCAAGGCAAATTTTAAGGACATGTGGCAGGGGTTTTCTGGAAGGGGTCTGTGATCCTGAAACAGTTCTTCATTCCATAGATAGAATGGCTTGGGCTGGAATGAGCCTTAAAGATCATAAAATCCCAGAATGGGTTGGGTTGGAAGGGACATTAAAGATTATGGAATGGGTTGTTGGTTTGGAAGGGACATTAAAGATTATGGAATGGGTTGTTGGTTTGGAAGGGACATTAAAGATTATGGAATGGGTTGTTGGGTTGGAAGGGACATTAAAGATTATGGAATGGGTTGTTGGGTTGGAAGGATCCTTGAGGATCACAGAATCATGATATGGTTGGGTTGGAAGGGTCCTTATACATCACGGAGTTATGGTATGGCTAGGTTGGAAGGGTCCTTAAGGGTCACAGAACCATGATATGTTTGGGTTGGAAGGGATCTTAAAGCTCTACTTAAAACCAAAGCAAGAAGAAAGCATTCACAGCATCCCAAGGGAGCGAAAGGACCACTTGGACACCCCCAGGCCCAGATGGTGACGTCAGTATGAACGGTTGGTCATGAGAAGGATGCTGAGCACCCTGCTGCTTTACCTGCTGCAGCCAGGTGGGCCGTCACCTCGTCGGCAGCTGTGGAGTTGAGGATGTCAGAGTCATCATAGGACGTGTCCTCAGGTGAAGAAGGCGAGTCCTCGTCGGCGCTCAGCATGCTGTGCTCTGTGTAGGTGGCCACGTGGACCTGCTGCACCTGCTGGGCCACTGCGTGGGCCTCGATGGTGGCCATGTGTTCTGTTTGAGCGACGCCGTGTTCTTCCATCAATAGGTACTGGAAGGGAGAGAAAAATCAGAGTGGGTGTTAGGGATACGTGTGCCATAAATAAGGAGAACAGCAGGTGAAGCCAGCTGGGTGAGCAGGAAGGAACAGAGGTTACCTCCTCTAGTGGACTTCCACAGGAGGGACATTACTAATGCAGGAGGCAGAAGAGGTTCTGAAAAATCCTATTTCCCAACTACACAGCACAGCACCAGAAGCAGGCACCACTGTTGGAGGAAAGGTCTTCACTCACCTGGCATTCCCAAGCTGGAGCTTATTTCTGCCACTTTGACACCAAGGGAAGATGCTCAAGAGCAATACATAATCCAACCTCAACATCCCAGGACGTGCATTACAATGACAGTACAGAGGTTTACTGGTAGCAAGTTGTGTTCTGGAGATGACTTTTGCTGCATTATTTGCCCAGAGTCCGGAAGTGGGCAAAATCATTACAACCTAAGCATAAGCATTATGTAAAGCATATTTATTTAATGTAGCCAAGTGCTAAACCACTGAGCAGAGCAGCAGCTCACACAGTCAGCAGGGCACCAGAGCATGCAGCATGAACATAAATATGAGCAGAAGATGCTCAGGTATTGTCAGTGGGTATCTGTCGTACATTGGTGGGAAAGCACCAGCACATCACAAACTGTTACATCACATACCAGAGGACCTTGTGGCCATAATAACGGGGTCAAATTCCATGGCATTCAAAGCTCTTTACCACACCCTCTCCATAGAAATCTGTTCAGCTTTTCAGGAGGAGAGAGCCAGGAGCACAGACCTGGCACGGTGCACTGCACCATCAACTCAACCACAGCGTGCCAACACGCAGCTCTGCTCTTCCAAAGCTTCCCATAACTTTTATCATATATATCCTGCCAGAAATACACAACGCTCAGCAAATGATCAGCATGACAGCCACTGTGACAAAACAGTCATCAGGCTGACGGTGAGTCCAAAAATGACATCATCAGGACCAACCATGCAGGAAAAATGGGACAGTGAGATCCATGCCAGGAGAAAGAGCTCCTGGCCAAAGTTATCTTGGCCAAACCAACCAAGGACAACTACTTGAGAGATTGCAAGAGGAATGACTACAAACGTAGGATGCTCCGTGGAAAGAAAGGAGGAGAAGGGAGAGCACCTCAAACTGAGGACAGGAGGTGTGGTGGAAGGCAGGAGGAGATGACCTGAGTTTCGTCCTGATTTTGGGAGAGGAAGAAGGGCAAGGCACATCCAAGGCCACAGGAAGAAGTACCAACAACATTGTGTACTGAACACTAAGGGCATTTATAAAGTAGCTCTCTCAAAGGCAGCTTCAACTTGAAGACACCACAACCAGCAAATCAATTCTTTTAGCGAGTTCCATCCTCCAAACACTCAGAATTATTTTTCCCCTTTCAAAATCATTTTTCACATTTGACTCGAGCACAGCTATTTTTTATTTATTTTTTTTTTTAATGGGAAAAACAAAAGCTGCATCTCAAATGCAGGGAGAATATTCCCTGGACAGCACTAAGGGAAAGCTTCCTGCTCAAATGCCAGAGGCACAAACGGTGTTGAATGGAGACGAGAAGTTCATAGAGGAAAATACTGACAGGAGACTTAGGATGAGCCAAGCAAAAACCCATGATCATGCAAATAAGTTTCCAAATACCACCATTATTACCAAAATGGCTGCAGGCAGTCACATCCCCTTGCTCAATGGACAGCTTTCAGCCAGCAGGTCCAGGGCTTTAGGATGGGTTTGCTCCATGTATGGGATTACACAGCAATGGTTCTTTTTGCAGCAGCCTTTGTCCTCCTAAGCTAACTCCAATCTAGGCATTTGGGAATGGTTTCTCAATTCCCAATACAAAGAAATCCAGCTAGACCTTTCCAAAACTGGTACTGAACTTCCCAAAACGCCAAATACGCCAAGCCCAATCTGGTTTCTCTCCTATGCTTTTAATAATGAGAATCACAAAACGAATGGCTTCACTAAGAGCTACCAACTTCATGGTGGAGCTGACTCTTATTTTGGCCATCTCCTATCCAGAAAAGTGAGTTTCTTGCCTGGGAAACACTAAGAGAAGCCCTAAGCGTTCTTAAACTGTACGGATGGAAATTAAACTCAACTTGGGCTCCCAACAGATGAGTTTAGGCTGTTTCCTAGCTAGGCATGCACTAGGGGAGCTCCAAACTGCTGAAATGCAGTTGTGAGACCATTACAACCCTATGGAGGTTAAAGCTCCAACCACCTTCCCACTCACAATCCAGCTCACAATGGAACCAGGTGTTATTCAGCCCTCCTTACAAGTCACTGCGATGTTAGAACCACCCAAAGGAGACCAATTCAAATACCTCCAGTAAGGAAGGGTCTGAGATGCCAAGATGCATTGAAGCAACATGAAATACTTCGGTTGGAAACAGAGCCAGTATAATCTTCTTCTAATGAACTTATTTTGTTATCAGTACAGAAAAATAGGGGGAACAAGGAGATTTCAGGCAAAACGTTAACGGAGCAGCACAGCAAGCCCTGCTTTTCCCAAACCACTAGGCTTTCTTTGTCTGAAGTGGCTCACTGCTGCTTTCCCCACGGTGCCATACAAAATAAAGTGCTTTCCACTGAAATAAAGAAGTGTTTATCCTCATAAAAAAAATACTACCAGAATATATGTGACAAAGTGTAGCCACCACTCAGCTCCCCAGGAAACCAGACTGCAAAATGAGCGATGCTTCTGACACTGCTTTCTTTAGGAGGAAAAATGCTTGAACCAGGGCGATACCACTCAAACAGAAACTATGGGCCATGCATTCCTAAGTGGGCAAACAAGCAGCTGGGTGACCAACATCAACACAAGGGTGCCCAAAAAGAGCAGACAGGCACGTGTGGGCATTGCTCTCATTTTTACAGGCACACATTGCGCTTCCACCACCAAGCAGAACCTGGATCTGCCCTTTCTGCACCCTCATCTTCATCATTCCAGGCTTATAAAAGTAAAGAGAAGCTGGGAAAAGGGCAAGAAACTACTACACATCTACCACAAACCAGGACTTACTCTCCAGTGGATGGGGAGTCTGCCCAGTTGTGCATAACCCAACACTACAAGCTTCAGTAACTCATTTCCACATTGTAACTTGGATTAATTCCAGTTTGACCCACTAGCTGACTTCACTCAACACCAATTTTCTTCTTTTCCAACTTCTGCACTCGTTCCATGTCTGCACATTTGACTTCTGGAAAATTCCCAAACGTCTCCAGCACCTGGAGGGCAAAAGCCTTATAGCTGTGCGTTGAAAGTTTGGGTAATTATTTGTATTATCCATTTTCTCACATTATTCCTGCAGGATTCCTGGTAGAAATCAGGCTGTGGAGCACAGAGGAAGAACCATCCGAAGAGCCACCAAAGAGCCACCCAAAGCAGCTCGGCCATGGATCTGATGGACTGGAAAAGGGATTATTGCACAGAGCATGAAAGGAAAAAAAAATGTTCTCGATTCATTTCAGAAATGAACATTCCTCATTCCAGAAAACGAGCATTTATTCCTCTTGTGCTTTATCAACCTGAACAACTTCAGGTGCAAGGAAACCCTGATGCCATGACAATGCTTGTGGAGACATTTCTTGGTGGCTGTGGCTCAGTCCTGAAGCCTTGGATGAGAGCCAAAAGTATTTTAAAAATCATTTAAAATGCTTGAAGACAGAGAAATGAGGATAAAGTCACCTCAGCACGCAGTGCAGTTGCCTTGTGGTCGTGACGGAGGCTCCTTTAATGCGCTGCTGACACCAGAGCTGGAAGGAGAAAAGCAACCCAAAATAGCAAAACCTGAGCACTGAAACAGCAGAAAACAACAGAAAAGGAGTGCAAAAACTGTAAATTCTATGCTAAACTCAAAGACACGTGGTTGAAAATGGAGCTCGTCTCTACTCAGCGTCATCTGTGGTGTGAGTAGAAGTAGCCACACTGACACAAAGCCCCACTGGAGGAACTCGTCTACCACCAACTCATGACAGTTGGTGCTTCATGAGTGCTTCAAACTGAGACAACGATGAGATGTCCACACAGGAAAAAAAAACAGAAGGAAAAACATCTTGGGATGTTTCAATAATTTCTATATGGATGCAAAGCATGGACCACGTGAACGAAGACTGAAGGAGAAGGGCTGAGACATACTCTGTATGGACTAGAACTACAAATTCTATATTTTCAGGTTTTTCTTCTGCTTGGACATTTTGGGTGGAGGTTTCTCCTTTCAAAACTCACTTCTTCATAAGAAATTTCTGTCTTTTCTTCAAGTGAACGCTCTTTGCTATCACCAAAATGTCTCCTAGGTGAAGGTTTTGGAGAAGATTGAGGCCCCAGTTGGGCACTGACACCGCAGCAGCTCCGCTTTCTGTATGCAATAAGCAAGGATTGAGAAATGATAAAAGGCAGAAAACTGAGGTGCAGCAGCCCATAAAGGTATTGAGGCACAGTGCTGGGAGCACTGCTTCTTCCATAAAACATAACTCAGACTGCTGGGTGGTGATGGACCCACCTGAAGTTAATTTAGAGGTCTTAGAGAGAGGGCCCATTTGGCATAGCTGCAAATAATCCCTCCGGCTCATTTCCTTATTAGTTCCAAAGGAATGGAAACGCTCCTGGTTTCCCCTTTTCCATTTTCTGCTTGATCCCTGTGCTGCAGACCCAACGTCGAGCATCCTGCACGGAACAGCACATCGCACAGCACTGTCTGGCACGACGCAGTTTAGTCTGAAAACCATCTTTAAAAAGGGAAAACAGCATTAAAAGTCTCACTATTCCAGCGTCACGCTTTTAACTGCAATAAATGCTGCTCCAAGCTCAGAGAGCTGATTTTTTTCTTTTTTTCTTCCAAAAAGTGTGCAACACCTCCTCTCTTTCTTCCACTGCTTCTGTAAAGATGGTGAGCATCTGGAGTTTAATGTGCCTTTAATGGATTCAAGCCTGCCCTGTAAATAAGTCACTTTCTTTGCATGAAACCACCACCATCACACTGGCACCTTTGTTCTCGGGGGTTGCTGTGATCTGGCTGTGTTAAACCCCATGCAGCAGTGCTGCTGGCTCTTCTTCTTGCAGTGCTGTGCTAGTTTCCAGCCACATGCACCAGCACCCCTGCTAGGAAATGGGCTTCCCCATCAGCACATAGTCCACTGGTCCTCTACCTTTCTCCTTCCCCGTCTTGCACAAGGATTGCTTGCAGGAGCTGTGATGAAGTGGTACTGCTGCTCAGCACTGCTCAGGTGCTTGCTTGCAACTCTTCTACAGGATGAGATCAGAAAGCACTTGTCCTGTGTAAGTCCTATGCACTTACCACAGCAGGTTGTTTGATTTTAAAACCTATTTTCCACTGGTGCTGTAGGTTTCAGTGAATTCCCAGCTCCCTGCAAAGACGGCCTGGAATAATTCCTAAGTGAAAAGTGGTCCAAGGAGAAATTAATCACTCACCACCTACTGATAAAATAAATTTCCTACTCCTACTTGAGGGGAATTCTGCATCTGAAATGGTCTCCCACTGTGTTTTGCTGTTCTGGCACAAAGCTCTCTATGCATTTTTCAAAGCAGAGGTGCTTCCTCATCCCGTGAGAATCTCATCAGCAGGTTTCAATGGTGGGAGAATGAACCTCACGCACCGAGATTTCCACAAGGACAATTGCAATCATGCCTTAAACTACTGCTGCTGATCAGCCCTCATAGCAGACCACAGTAGCCACGTTTTGTCCCATTTTGGATGGGTCCCAGCTCCATCTCCTGTCATTGCCACAGCCAAGCAATACCAAGACCTGGCTTTTCTTAGGGGGATGCAAAACAAAGCCTTGGACTCCTGCTGGAAGTCTCTGTGTAGCATCCAACCTGCTGACAGCTCTCCCAGGTTAAATATTATTCACACATTCAGCTTTAGATAGGGTTCGATGCCATGCCTGTGCAACGATGTGTCTCGATGGAATTAGTTATGTGGGTTTGATAAGGAAACGATGCATCCATCAAGCAGCAACATTGATTTGTATCTTTATTATTACCCCAACTTGTTGAAAACACACATTGAAATGCAAAAATCCCATTGTTCTGGCACTGGTGGAGAGAATTGGCTGTGGTCCTGCACTGGCAGAAACACAGTAACTCAAGCCCTAGGAGGGACTGAAATCCACCTCTTGTCATCCCACAGCGTCCTCCTGTGGCTTAATGCAATTATCCTTTTAATTAGGCTGGAAAAATAATCCCTGTGCTAACAGTCGCAGCATAAAAATCCTAAAAAAAAAATATCCTAGAAAACCAAACCCATGTTTTCACTGTGCTTTCCTCATCAGCACCTCACCCAAAAGAGCTGCAGTAAAACACAGAAAGCCTGGAAAAGAAACAAATGGGACTTCACACCTGTTTATTGAGCATGTAAGCGGAGTGTGGACAGCAAAGCATCTGACAAACAGCATCCTCAAAGGTACCATTATGTCCATTTGCACACTTTCATTTCAAGAACCACGGAAATCCCAATTTCTAATTATTTTACTCTGAACCATGTGGCCTTTAAGACATTCTAAGCGAGTTGCTCTTCTCTAGTTGCTACAGCTTTTTAATTAATTTGAAGAATTGCTAACCCCATCAGCAGCAGGACCGGAGGATCTGCTGTTTGCTGACGGCCCTTTACCGACAGGATTACTGCCCAAAAGACAGAGCACAGCCCTGGCAGGCTGAATTAAGGTACGAATGTTCCCATTTTTAATCCTCTTTTATAGTGGGAAAGGATTACTGTTACGCTGGGCTGCTGCAAAGGAAAGTAATGGGAGCGTTGCGAGGAGCACACGAGTGAGAGAGCAGGGGTTGGCACACAGCACTGAGATGCTCACCGGGGTTTGGAGGCAACACGACAGCACATCTGGAGACAACAGAACAGGAGATTTGGAAACAACACCAAGAGATCAACCTGCTGGCCATGGCTGCCTTCCTGAGCACTTGGCCAACAGTGTTGCTTGCCCTCACGTTGCCTTAGCTCATCACCTACCATGTGGTAAGGTCACAGGGCATAGCCCTAATTAAATAACCTGCACTAAATTACGTAGCTCTGATCTAAGATGGCAGGCCTGGCTATGTGGCTGGCTGCTTCTGTTGGTGATGTGTTCTGCAAGGAGCTCATAGAATGGGTTGGGTTGGAAAGGGCCCAAGAAGCCATCATTGGTCTATCCCAAACCCAGGCTTCCTGCCTGAAAACGCACATCAGCCTATCTCCAGCTCAGCTAGATGAGACCACTCTGCGACTACCTAAGTACATGCATGCTGGATTTAAGTGCATTTTAAGAACATTCTTCTCCTCTGTGGGACCAACAAAGAGCTCCTTAACCTGCCCACCTTGCTCCTTGAAGCACATCACTTACTACGCAGCTGTTTTCCATGCAAGCTGAACACTCAACATTTAATCTGTTAAAAGATGAAATAGTTACTACACGTTTCTAACAAACATGCCTACATACAAACGGGGCTGTTCAAGCTCTGAACAAACACAGGGGCTGAGCGAGGTTTTAGGAGCTGCTGCAACACACAACCATTTACTTTGTGCATGGAGAACAGAACACAATATTTTATTTGCAGCTGCATTTTGTGTTTTGGAGGTCTTTAATATTTCCTCACCGCCACCTCCATCCACGTATGCTTCTCATTACCAGAGTTTAAGCATTACAGCCATCACAGGAACACACACCATTTGCTTCTTGGGCAGGAGACCCACCTTAATGCTTTACCTTTCACTCAAAAACATGGTGCAGAAAGAAGCCAGAAAAGGAAAGACAACTTGCAGCCCTAGGCAACTATGAGAAGTGCTTCACGTCAGCCTGGCCTTCCTAGGGAGAAAGGGAGCAGCACTACCCCCAGTCCTCTCTCCTTTATAGGGAAAACTGAAAAGTTCAAGGACCTTTCTGGGGTCCAAAACAGCAGGAGACTCCAACAGCTGAAGCCAAAAATAAGGGGATAAGAATTAACTGACACAACATCAAGGATGTGGCAATGTAAATAAAGCACGGAGGAAGTATTTTTGACCCAGACGTGGGGGAAGTTTCCCAAGCCACCGAGTCATCTCCATTTGATGACTTTAATTAGAGGGTTACGTAATAAACAGTGGGTGGGAACTGGTTTCTTTCTGATTGCATTACTTGTCACAGAATCATGAGTAGATTGGAGGGGGCCTCAAAGATCATCCAGTTCCAACACCCTGCCAACACCTAACCTAAATCCCCCCTCTTTTAGTTTACAGCCATTGCAAACTCCTTTTTGTCAGAACCTCACAGAGGCAGAAAGCCATCTGCAGCAACCAAAATAGTGCAGGTGAGGAAACCCAGCACAACGCCCCGTGCTCCTTGCACAACAACATGCCCTGTCCCTCACACAGCAGGACAAAAAGGTGAAAAACAACAACTGCAAAATAATGCTGGGCTCCTCAATCCTATAGAACCCAGGATCAGATGGAATATACCTGCAAGACCAAGTGCTGCACAAGTCTCTGAACGTTCACACCGCACAAGATGAAAAACAATGGCATTTCATTGATGTCAACATGTCAGCAGGATGGATGTCTGCTGCTCTCCATCAGATACAGCTTCCAGCTCCCCAGTGTCTTATCCATCAATAGCACAGACTCCTTGAAGCTCAACAGGTGACTCATCCACAACCAAAAACCCAACCAGCCTCTGCCAGATGGCTGAGAAGTATTGGGGGAGCCAAGAATAAAAAGGCTGGGCTGGCGGAGGCCAACAGACCAACCTTCAGCAGTGGGAACATGAGCAACCACCAAACTGGATGTGAGATGAGGAGTTTTAAACCACGAGGGGACAGATTACCTTTAAACACAAGTAAGATGTGCCCCAGTGTGGTGCCCATATGCCACCCAGTGGCCCTGGGTGGGCTGCACTCCTCTGGCATGGCAGCTGAAACCCCCAAGAGGGAACTTTTATCCTCAGCTGGCTGTAGCTGCTCCTAATTTTAGACAAGCATCCCTAGCAAGTGGCTATTTACCAAACAGCTAATGAAGTGCCTTAGAGGAGAGCTGGGTGAGTCACAAAGCCTCTGCTCCAAGTGCCACCTCAGCACCATTTGCCATTTTTTTCTACTACAGTTACAACTCACAGAGCAAAGCAGGCGAGATCCCCCCCACGCACCAAAAGTTGTTTTAAAAGACCAAGGAATGTATTACAAAATTATTTTATTAAAGGACTCGATTACTGGATAATCACTGGTACAAAAATAAAGCTAACAACACATTCTTCCTCTGGACTTCCTTCAGGAACAGCAGTAGAAAGTCCAAAGTTGAATTTTACAGCAGTACTTGCACCGAAAACCAACAGGAGCTAAGTTCTATTGACAGCACACAGCATTATGCATGAAGATTTATTAAATTTTCATGGTAGAAGGGATGCAAGGGCATCCTACAGAGGCACCGAACCCAGCTTCCTTCCTAGAAGTTATTTTCCGGGCTGCTTTCCAGATCATAAAAGGCTACAGCAAAATAAACTAAAATAAAATAAAAAAATATGAAAAAGAACCCAAAGCCTCCAGGGAGGCTGAACGGAACCTCCCAGGGCTCCCAACCCTGATCCTGTGGCCATTCATGTTGTATTTTCGTTACAGAGCTCAAAACCTCCATGTCTAAGCCTGCCAGAAGCCAAGCAGGTTGTGATAAATCTAAACAAAGCTGATTCAGGTTTGTGAGCAGCGGAAAAAAAAGCAAATCCCAACACTTTGGGTACCCTGACACCAAAATACCTAAAATTAAAAGCTGGCATCTGTGCAGCTGACCAGTCACAGGGCTTAATAAAGCCAGTAATTAAAGCCTAATTACCACCAAGCATAAAAGCAGTGTCTGGCAGGAGTTACAACGCAGCCTTTGCTCGTCATCCCCTACAAGGTTTATGCCATGCATTAATGCATTATGCCACATGTCATTGGATTTGTGGCAGGGAGAGCCCACTCACCACCAAGTCTGCACCTGACGATGTGAGAGCCCTACAAAAGGTGACACAAAGCTCTATCCCAGTGAACACGTGGAGAAAATGATGTATTAGATGATTTAACTCTACATCGTAACACTCAGCCATGTTGAAAGATACCAAAACCCCAAAGAAAGGCAGCGAGATCCAAATCCATGATGAACGAGGTCAAAACCTCAAAGAAAGTCAACCTGATCCTCATCCATGATGAATGAGGTCGAAACCCCAAAGAAAGTCAACATGATCCTCATCCGTGGTGGACAAAACCAAACCCCAAAACAAAGTCAACGTGATCCTCATACATGACAAATGAGGTCAGAACCCCAAAGTCAACATGATCTTCATCTGTGGTGGACAAGACCAAAATCCCAAAGGAAGTCAATATGGTCCTTATCCACGACAAATGAGATCAAAACCCCAAAGAAAGTCAACGTGATCCTCATCCATGATGGATGAGACCAAAAACCCAAAGGAAGTCAACGTGATCCTCATCCACAGGGGAAAGGACCAAATACCCAAAGAAAGTCGATGCGACCCTCATCCATGACGAATGAAGTCAAAACCCCAAAGAAAGTCAGTGTGATCCTTTGCCATGATGGACAAAAACAAATCCCAAAGAAAGTCAATACGACCCTTAACTATCCTGGACAAGACCAAAATCCTAAAGTTAATGTGATCCCCAGCCACGATGGAGAAGACAAAAACTCCAACGAAAATCAATGTGATTCTCAACCCTCCAAAGCAGCCGCCACAGTCAGGCACTTCCCCTTTCCCACAAATGTTCTACCAGACATTAAAAAAATAGAAAACGGAACGACTTCTCATCCGTTTCCCCGCTGTTAGGACATGAAAAGAGCAACCCCACCACTCTAAGGATGAGCAACGTGCTACAGATGGCACAACGGCCAAGGCGACACCGAAGCACAAATGCATAGTGAAAAATGACACAAATCATCCAGCCAGCAGTGAGGCCAGCACCCCAAAGACAGAAGCACACCATGCCAAAAGGTCTCAAATTCTGGAAATAGCGAAGGGCGCTCTAGATGGGGGGAGCAGAGATCCAAATCTTGAAGGTATGCACAGAAAATGTTTCTGCACGTCATCAAAATTAGCAGCAGATGCAAAAGAGCTCTTCCTGTGCATGCTTAGGGTGGGGATTTTGTGCTCTGTGATGGTTATTTATGGTTCCCAATCCTAAACAGCTCAGGAAGCAGTGGGAGCCCCATGGCCACACCGTGGCCTAATAAGAAGGGGGAGGAGGAATAAAGGGAAGAAGTTCAGAAGAAAAAAAAACGGGGGGGGGGGGAAAAAAACTAAAAAAGGGGAGAACAGGGGAAAAATAAAAAAGAGGAGAGGGGAGCAAAATGGGGGGAAAATACAAAAAGTGAAAAAAGAAAAAAATTAAATGGGGGAAAAAGTTTAAAACAAAATAAATAAACTAAAAAAACTTAACAGGAAGGAAAAGGGGGGAAACTTAAAGGAGGAAACATTAGAAAAAAAAAAAGAGTGGAAAAAAAGGAAAAAAAAATAAAGAGAGGGAAAAAAATTTCAAGGGAGGATAAAAGAAAAAAAAGGGGAAAAAAATTAAGGAGGGAATGAAAAAAAGGGGGAAACTTAGAAAAGGATTAAAAATGGAAGGAGAGAATAACAAGGGAGATTTAAAATAAAGTAAAAAAAAATGCTAAAGAGAAAAAAAACAAGGGAAAATTAAAAAATTAAAAAGGGGGAAAAATAAAAGGAGAAAGTTAAAAAAAAAGGGGGAAAATAAAAAGGAAAAATAGGGAAAAGCAAAAAAACAGGAAAGGAAAAACAAAAAAGGAAAAAATAAAAAGGGA